GATACTCCACTCGATGCCTTCGAAGTGTTCGTCGATAGCTTCCACCAAGGTATCTACAATTCGCTCCAAATAGTCTTCGACGGTGTGATCAATCCTTGGATTCACGTCGAAGAAGGTTGATCGTAGGATGTCGATGAAGCCGTCTTCGTCCCAAGTTAAACCATAATCAGTCTCCGGATCCGCCATTCATGGATGATTGAAAATAGAATCTCCTTAGCCCTTGATATGCCTCGTAAGTTGTGGCAAAGAGAAAGAAGTTTCTCTTGCTAGTGGAGGGAAATAAACTTCAAGGCTCTTGACCAAAACCTGAAAATAGTTTCAGATTTTGATCCCAAAATCTGAGAGAAAATTTCAGATTTTAGAAGAGGGTGGGAATTGGAGGGAGAAAACTAATGTAATAATCTCACTTGAAGTAATTAAGAGGGAGAGATGGAGGCGGTTTGGGAGGGAGAGAGAGAGAGAGGCGGTTTGGAAAGAGAGAGGGGGCCGGCGGTGCAAGGGGATGGGAGAGGGGATTTATTTCCTAGGTTAAATACTTGAGTTTAGGAAATAAATTAGCAAATTGAGACTTAGGAAAATTCGGTCAGCAAAGATCAAGGGAATTTGAAATAGTTTCCTAGAGCAAAGTTGGAGGTTTAGAAAATAATTCCTAATCCAAGCAGGGGGGGGGTTAAGGAGAGAAGGGAGGAGATTTGGGGAGTTAATGAAGCTTCTTAATTTAAATTCATGAGATAGGAAAGTTTTAATCAAATCCTCTCTCAATCAAAATTTAAATAGGAGTGCATTAAAGAACTTTCCTAAAATAGAATTAGTAAATTAGGAAAGTTTTTGAATTTCAAATCAATTGAATTTGAATTTCAACTTCTTCCAAATTTGACCCAACCTAAATTAGGAAACTTCTAGGAGATGATGAAGTGGAGGTGGCCGGCGGATTTGGAGTAGTGGCCGGCGGCTTTAGGGGGGTTGGGTGGAGATTTGGCCGTGGGGGTTAGGAGGTAGGGGAGGGAGTTCGGCTAGGTGGAGGGGAAAAGAAAATCCGGTGGCTTTGTGACGGTGGATTGGAGGATGAAGAAAGAAAAGATATGAGTACAGAACCATGAACCCGACCTATCTAGGTTGGTGGGTATTGCACGATCTCCCTCTCCTAGGGAACTCTCTCCAGTCTCCATTAGAATTCTCAAGCTCTCTCAAAACTCATGCGAGAAGAAATTTTAATAAGCAATCATTCATTAACCATGAAATAATAAGCAAAGGCTATATATAGCCAAGTACAATTGACTCAAAGAAATAAAAGACCAAATTACCCTTTGGGCTCATACATGACACTTCCCATTAAATGGGTACAAACGGAAAGACCAAAATAACACTACGCAAATAGAAAATACATAAATAATGAAATAACAAAAAGGACTCATAAATACAAAGACTTGATCGTGGCCGTAGATCGGCGGCCACGCCTCTGATAGACCTTCCATGAGTTGATGTCCCCATCATTTAGATATGCCCCTCCCCCGTTTCCTTTTTTTTTTTGTTTGTGTTGTATCAATCACTAGTTAAGATGCAATTGATAATACAACCGCCTAGAGAACAATCGAGTGAAAAGAAGGATTAATCAAAGGTTTTTTTTTTTGGTGAATGGCTACAAAGGGCTTTGGAATCGTTGTTCTTCAAACAAAGTAGCACGCATGGAAATGAGCTAGCATTAGAAATGAGGGATCAAGGATCTCAAGTTCAGTGGTTTAGGGTTATGATGAGAGTACTAGTAATGCTTCTTTATTTTTAGAGATTTGGTGAAATAGGAATTAAAATGTACTCCTCTTTGACTTTATCAATCGAAATGAGATGTTCTCCACCCTCCTTGTTACTTTTTGATAGGAAGTGGATACAATTTCCTCGAAATCAATGAAGAGCAATAAAAAATTAGGAATAAGAACACACCAAAACTACTTTTATTGCAAGATAGATGAAAGAAAATAGCAATATACAAAATGATCTTCAATTGGAGAGGAAGATCCGGCTCTCCCAAATTCTTAGCCGGCGGCTAGATCCCTCACAAATTAAGAACTACTAATTTCAGCATACTCAAAATATAATCCTAAAATCACTTTATTGTTAGCCTTAAATAGACTTCCCTTATTCCCTCCTAAATCAGCTCCCTTTACCTAAATAATTCCCTCTCATGTTTGAATTCAAATTAAATCTCTTGCTCTAAATAATTCGCTCTCAATCATAATTAAAACTTTCTTAAATAATCAAAATTTGATTATAAACCTTCTTAAACAGCTCCCTCTTGATTAGGAAACTTCCTAATTCCCTCCCAATCAGATAGGCCAGTTCATCAATACTCCCCTTCCAAAGACCCACTTTGTCCGCAAGGTGGAAAGAGTACTCCTTTGATCCTTCCCCAAATCCTTGTCATCACAAATGGTGAAATCCTGAAGAGTTTGATCCTTACACCTATACTCTGGTGTATACCTCTCCTCACATCTGAAACACAGCTCTATCACCCTCTTTCCTATAACTCAATTTCTGTGGGCTTCTTGAAGTTTTCCCCAAGTCTCCCTCCTACAGTGTTCTCCTTTGGAATCTCCTTAAGAATACTCGATGTCGGCTCCTTAGAAGCCAAAAAGGTGGTGGTCATCCTGAATGAACCTCCTGAGCTGCTGCCTCCAGCCCCTCTCTCCAGGTGTCTATGATCCTCCACTAACTAGGCTAGCTCCATAGCCTCTCCCAAATCACAATGCCTCATCACTCTAAATGTCATTCAAATCTCAAGTCATAGCCTTTTCATAAAGTTCCCCTCCAGTATAGTCTCCGAAAGTTGATCCAACCGGCTAGTCAAGTGCTCAAACTGCTCACGGTACTCCACCATTATCCCCTCCTACATCAGGGCAAAGAACTGCTCATAGAAGTCTCCTTCTCTACTGGTTATAAAGTGTTCAAACAAGCAATCCTTAAACTCCCTCCAGGTAAGTATGGGTCACCTCGTATCCCTCCATCGGTACCATGCTAACGCTTTCCTCTCCAAGCACATCTCGACCATCGTCATTCTCTCCAACTCAGTCAACCTATTGACAGCAAAATACCTTTTCAACATGTGTACACCCATGTGCATCATCTCTCTCAAAAATAAGGTATTTTCAGCTTCCTCACCCTCGGATCTCATTCGTTTCCCCTGTTTCCTCCATAATTTCCTAATCCCCAAGGGGGTGGTTCCCTCCAAGTGTCTCAATCATCTCTTCTAAGCTCGTACCCAAACCTTTCATCAAAACCCCAACATCTCTATCAAATTCTGCACCCTTTGGATCATAACCAGCTCTTCTCCTTTCAAATTGAGCCCCACTCCTCTCAAATTCAACACCCATTTGTTCAAACCCGACCCCCTCTCGCCTCCTCCCATATCCTCTACCCGACACCTCCCTAAGAATAGGCTCTAGGGGAGACATTCTCTCTTCTCTCTCCAAAATCTCCACCTACTGATCTTCCTTTTGCCTTATCGAATTAGGGTTTTCCTCACTTCCTTGGTTGTTGGCGGCTTCCCTCGCCTCCGACGGCGCCGTCTTGGGTTGGCCCTCGAGTCACTTCTTCAACTTCTCCTCCAAGATGAAAAAATTCTCATTGATCTTGTCATAGACAGCTAAAATTTGACTTTTAAAATATAAAAATTGAGTTTGAAGATCTAAAATTTCATATTTCAATATTCCGATCTCTCCCTCCCTTTCATCCCGCGACAGGATTCCCGCCATAAGTACCTGAATCAAGGCTCCAAACCGCAAAAAACAGTAATTCTAATCTTCAAACAGCAGAAATCAGCACTTTGGAGGGGAAAACATAGCCGAAATTGGCAAAGAAATGCCTCAATTTCAGCCAAGGATGTCACTCTAATACCAATTTGATAGGAACTGGATACAATTTCCTCGAAATTAGTGAACATCAATAAAAAATTAGGAAGAATAACACACCAATACTATTTTTATTGCAAGATATATGAAAGAAAATAACAAGATACAGTTGGATCTTCATTTGGAGAGAAAGATCCGGCTCTCCCAAATCTCTGGCCGGCGGCTAGAGCCCTCACAACCTAAGAAATTCTAATTTAAGCAATCTCAAAACATAATAAAAAAATCACCCGATTGCTAACCTTAAATAGGCTCCCCTAATTCTCTCCTAAATCAGCCTCTTTTCCTAAATAATTTTCTTTAATATTTGAATTCAAATTAGATATCTTGCCCTAAATAATTCCCTCCCAATTATAATTAAATTTTTTTCTAAACAATTCCCCTTTGATTAAAAACCTTCTTAAACAACTCTCTTTTGATTAAGAAACTTCCTAATTTCTTCCCAATCAGATCGGTTGGTCCATCAGTTTCCTGTGGATAGTTGAAATATGTTTAATACTCTTTTTTGTACTCTATATACGTTGAAAGTAGATCATTTATAACTCCATGCCCAATAAATGTATGTCACTCACTCGCTCTTGAGCAAACCATATAATTTTTGGAGTTATCATTGTCGTGAATGTCATATTATTACATACTATATTTGTGTTGCGCTAAATTTATTTGTCCTGGCCTCCTGGGTTCATCGTATATCTCTCTTCGGTGCTCTTAAAGAGAGTGATTTGGCCCCTTTGCAATAGCAACCAAGCAAGTCTTCCTCCTACCCTAGACTGAAACCTCTCTTATTTCTCTCATCATTATTGCTCACTTTGTTCTTTATCTCTCTTATATATATGTATATATACTCTCTCTCTCTCTCTCTCATCATTATTGCTCACATTCGCATCAGCATCACAAATTATACATAATTTATAAATAAACTAAGTAAATTTCCTACAAAGTTGGGTATTGAGATTAAGCAGGCATCAAGCCAGTAATATATGAATTTCGGGACCTCAACAGTGCTAGCTTTGTCCTAATGTACAAACAAAAGGATTCCAAAATGCATAAAAAGTATAACTGTATAAGTAATAGACAGTAAATGTATTATAAAAAACTTACTTAGGGCATAGCCAGTCCCCCTTCTTCATTTCAACATCTTGAGTATTCTTCTTTTTGTTGGTGGTTGTCTTTAATTGACTAGATGCTTCCTTCTGAGTAATAATATTTAGAATGGGCTTTGGAAGTGCTGGATCAATGATTGTGTCACTTAAATTAGTAAATTCTGAAAGAAGCTTGCGGGCAGAGTCCTGAACTTGAACCTTCACAGGAGAATTCTCTCCACCTAAAAGAGCAGCTGGATTGACAGCATAGCTTAATAAGACACGCATAATATCCACTGTGCGAGCTCCTTCTTCTTCATGCACAGTTTTATAGGCTCTATCACAAGATGCACGAAGATTGCAAGCACAGCATACCTACAACAACAAAAAATAAAGACGTATTGATTTCCAACAGACTATGCAGCTCTTGCACTTCATATTTGGCACCATTTACAAAAAATCCTCAGTGAATAAGAAAACAAGAAAGCTAGAAGAAAAAAACTGGAAAGATAGTTCATTTTTAGAGGTAAGCAATCGAAATAGCCTAAGTTAAAAGCAATAAAGAGAGCATAAAAGCATACATCCGCTTCATCAAGCCTCAGAAATGCTCTCAACCTTTTTGCAGAATTAACAGATTTTCTGAAAATATTGGGACATCCACACTCAACAATAGCTCTAATGTCTTCCTTAGGCAGAGACCTGAATAGCAAAGTGATTCAGGAAAATAGTAAGTTGAAACTGAACATGAGAAATCAGATTTCTTCGAGAGGACTACAAAACACCTGAAAAAAAGTATCCTAATTTTACTAACATTTAATCTGCATAACAGTTTAAATGCTACATCTTGACAAAACAAAAGAACATTAAAAAGAGAACGATAGCAACCTCAAAATATCAAATCTCTCTCTTGCAAACTTAAGGCAAGCGTTTTTCAGCCTATTGATATCCAAGGCAATCCCTTTATCCCCCAAAGCAGGAGTTCTACAAACAGTTAAAGCCTCCCCTTCATCATCTACAGCCTCGGAAGCGACAATCTCAAAGTATCCTTTGCTCCTTATCTTTTCCACGAATTGGCCCCATTCAGGCCAAGGATGAGCAGAAGTGGCCGCCTCTACGCTATCCAAAGCGGCCGCTGAGGTGGAGAAGAAGAACTGAAGCCGACGAATTTGAAGAGCAGGGAATCGTCCCGAGTGAAAAAGACGGTGAGGGGGGGACGGGGAAAGGGGGAGAGGCAGCGCAGATAGGGCAAATCGGTTTGACTTCCGGCGTAAGCGGAGAAAGGCGGAGCTGAGGTGGAAGAACCTGGAGGAGGCCATAAGGGCAAAATGGTAGAGGAAAGGAAGCGAATTCAGAGTGACAATCTAGAAGGCGATGGCCACCTCCTAGGGTTTTGGGGAAGGAGGGTTTTGGATAGAGGAAACGAAGGATTGGGATTTGGGATTGCTGGTTTTGTTTAGTAGATGTTTATGTTATGTATGTAAAATATTATTGTTATTAGAAAAATTACTGTTTCTATTAATTGCCTGTATTTGGTTTACTATTATTTGGGTTAAGAAATAAAATTTAATTGCCATTTTAAGACTTCATTTGGAATAATTTTTTATTATTTTTTAAAATAATTTTCTAGTACAAAGATTTTATTTCAATAAATTTTTGCAACAGAAAATTATTTTAGAAAGCAGCAAAAAAACTGCCCCAAGCTAAGCTCGTATTTCTATAAAATAAGTAGAAGAGTCTTGATGCTTCAAGAGTTATCAATAAGATATAATTGCTCGTCTTTTTAATAGGATGTGAGAGTAATGATCAAGAAGAAAGGTATCAACATTTTTGATAAATAGGTCAAGTATTAGTCTTGGTGGCCAGCTCAGGAGTGGACATACGTAGTGAAGACGAGTGGAACTTTAGTTGTGACTATAGGTTTCGACTTTTTTGGCGATGGTGAAGGTCGATAATGTTGGCGACAATAGGTTTCGGGCATTGTTGATAACTATGTGTGTTTGTCTTGTGTCAATAGTTTATATTGTAGTTATAGATGACAACGACATCATCATTGTTGGCAATGACATAATCAATGATGAGTGATGACGAACAACATTCTTATTAAAGATGGTGAGCGTGTATCAACTATAATCATGCAAATCTTAGACCATCTTCTAAAGGCATCACGAAGCTTCAACGATGTTTCATAGTACTTGATCTTGATCCATTTGAATTTAGGTCAACATATTTTTGATATTGTTTGACTTATCTCAACGAGTCACATATGTCAACGATAAGTTTGTCACAAAAAAAAAAATCATAAGATTCTAGATCGATTTCAAAATTATTTTATTCGAATACCTGGAAATTCTATATATGAAAATTTGCATCAAGCTTCATATTACATCCGATAAAATTTTTTGTGAACTTTCAAATAACTTCAAAATAAATAATACATGTTTCATCCCTTACAAGTAATATTGAAAAAGGGTGGAAATGCTTGAAAATACTTTTTCTATGGCAGTTTCTTAAGAAAATGAGAATTTCAATCATAAGAAATCTTCCCGCATATCGCAACTAGCATAAGGGGAAACAAACGAAAATCATGGCTGGTTATAGAAGAATGAAGTAGAAATTAGGAGGCATGAGCAGAGCTTAGTGTTATACACTTATAGGGTCCAAACATCCTAAATGATTTCAGCCCTTCATTCCACAATCAACATATGAAATTATGCATGTTTTGAATCCGATGGTTCTTTCAAATACGACTGGTTTATCGGTTTTGCAGTTCAGTCGGCGATTTGGTAGATTTTTTATTGATCAGCTGTTGCTCTGATTTTCAGATTTAAATAGAACGGTTAGCCGGTCTCCAGTTTTAACCTGCTGGTCTGATCTAGTTTTAAAAATCATGATTTTAACTTAATGATAATATATATATTATAATTGTTTTCTCATTAAATAGTTTTGTATTACATTTTAATTATTATTAAAAAATTTATTGCTTAAAAAATTATTTAAACTAAAATATAACTATTTTTAAATAAATATAATATGTATAGTCCAAAATTAAAATGTTTTATATTTCTTTTTTTTTATAATAAATATTTAAATATCAAAAATATATTTTTATTAAAAAAAGTATAACTTTTTATTTTGACTTAATGATAATATAAATTAAATAATTAGATGTAAAATAATAATTTAAATCAAATATATCTAAACAATCATAAACGACCTTCAAATTTATATCCAGCCCATCAATTTCAATAGGGATCTCATCAGCTAAAACCGAATTTTTATCCACTTCCACACAAACACGCGCGAAAGTGAGCCTCGTTCTTTTGGCAGTGAGAGTGTCAACATAGAGGGGAATACCAATGTAACTTGCGATTTTGGAAATACCTGACGGGGTCCAGAGGGCAAGAGGGAGGTTGACGATTTTGATCCATAGAGGAATGGCCGCAGACTCGTCCCTTTTAGGTTGAAACTTAGGATCCCATTTCTGTAAGATGAAGGGCTTGCCAAGCAGAAACCAAGGGCCACCCGCGAGAACCATATCATAGTCCTCAACAGCAGTGAATTTGAGAAGGAAGAAATCATCCACCAGAGAGATGAGTGAAAGATCACCTTTGAGCTTCCACGCCTTTTCCATGGCCAAACGAAGTCGCTCGTAGTACGGTCTTGGGCCAAGAGAATATCCCACCAGAGATAGATTCCAAAGGGTCTTACCTTCAGAAAGGTCGTTCGAGACAAAAGAAAGTTTTTTCTCCGGTTTGGAGTAAGACATCGGCCATTCATCGCGAGCAGAAGAAGGAGCAGCTAGATTAGCCGCGTAAGAAGTAGGACGGCGAGGAGAACCAAGGATGGAGTTGCCTTGCGGAGGTGGAACATCGAGCGGAAGAGCCATCCCGGCCAAAGGCCAGGAAAGCCACGAAGAAAGGAGCGCCGCCACGGGAGAACAAAACCCTAGCAGAGCTCGCTCGCCATATTACTCATAATAGCTTAAAAAATCGTGTTTTTCTTTTTCGGTTACGAGCATTTTAGGGAAAATCACTAGTCATCAGGCATAGCATTTGAAATACGACAAACACAATGGGAACGCTTTGCTTTCTGAAAAAAAAATTGAAGTTGTTTATATATTTTTCGTGGCGCTTTCTGCATGTCTTCCTCTGGCTGAGAAGCTTCGCCTGCCATTCCTTCCATCGTCTGATCTCCCTCAGTCGTTTTCTTCTACTTTCCCTGAGTTTTGCCTTGAGAAATCATTGGAGTCTTGTTCCTCGAAGGAGAAGGGAAGGAAAAGTGAAGGAATGGGCTCCTCTTTTTCCTGAAATCCAGTGCTCCGTGCCATTAATTTGTTTTTTTATCTTTACAAATTTGTTATTCTTGGAGTACTAGATTGGACTGTAGGGTTCTTGAAAGATGAAGAATCTGTTTGACATTACTTTAACTTTTTATAAATATGATTCTATTTGTAAACTTGTTATAAAGATTTTTTTTTTTTTGAAAGCTACCGTAAAAATAAGTTTTTGGCAAAAAAAAAAGTCTTAAGAGCAACCAAAATTTGTTCCGGGGGCGCTGCATCTGGAAACCTCCTCAGGGGTCACTGCCCCTTGACCCCGCAACCTGATCGGGCAAGTTGAACCCTGCTAGTTACTTATAAGTTTGCGTCACCACCCCCCAGCGTGAAAATTAAGACTGATTACGCCCCTGATTAGAGATTTGAGTAATATATAAACAAATATAAGATATTAAAAATATATAAGAATAATGTGGTATGTATGAACTCTCTTCATTAGTTTTTAAATTTAATGCAATTTTTTGGATTTTTTGTTCTATTTTGTTTAAGCTTTCGGTTTCATTTGGATTAGCTTTCTTACTATTTTATAAATATGATTTTCAATTAAAAAAATTGCACTGAAAATTTACTTTAAAAATCAGTAAGAAAGTTGTCCCAAATAAAACCTTAGTTATTTTTATTTGTGGTTGGACTTGGATATAACGACAAGTTACTCATGATAATTTTAAATACTTGATGATTAATGAAAAATTAATTTTCCACAAATAACCCTATATTGGAGGAGATTAGGGGTTCTAATTTTGAGCTTAAGGAATAATTATTAAAGCTCATGGACATATGCATATTCATGATGATTACCCTCTTTTTTTATTTTCTACTTTCTAACTATTTAATATTATTTTTAACTAAAATGGATAATAGTTCCTAATAAATTGTACCTCACCACCTTCAATTATTAATACATACCCTCTCAAGAAAAAATATTGATTAAAATAATTTAATTAATTCAAACTCAATCACATTGAATTTTATAAATATTTATTTTATATTTATCTCACTTATAATCCAAAGAGAAATTAATTTGGTGATACTAAAAAAATAGATAAAAGAAGGAGAAAGGAAGAAATTAAAAAGATCATATTTTTATGCAACTACATTAAGGGTTCATTTGAGACAGCTTTTTTAATGCTTTCTAAAGCAGTTTTTTATGCAAAGATTTTGATAAGCTATAAATTTTTATATTATAAGTTGCTATAGAAAATAATAATAAATCTCTCTCAAACAATTCATAAAGTTTTTTTTTGGAGATAATTGAGATTGTGTAGTATTTCGGGCTCATTTGGGGGTGATTGTAAAGCTTATTGCGAGAAAAAAATAATATTTTTGAAAGCTGTTATACATATAGTAAATATTTTTTAAGAATATATTGAATAGTAGCTTCATTATATCTACCACATTTTAGCTATTTTGATTGAAAAATAAAGCTTTAAATTACATAAAATTTTGAAAAATAATAATAATAAAAATAAGCTAAACTGTGGTGTAGTAATGATCTGAAAAATAAAATAATGGGAGAGCTAGCTCAAACAGATCATTAATATATTGAAATATTTGTTAAATTAATCATTTTTTGGGAAATGAATTATGATCTTCATAGATGTAGACAATAAATTTTATTATCAAATTAATTAATATTTTTATAATCAATAAAATTGATCAACTCATCTTCTTGATTTTTTATTCAAATTGAATTTTATAATAATTAGATTTATTAAAATAAGTGAAATATTAATTTTAACTTATTAGGGCATCTCTATCCAAAAAACTCATTTTTTACTCCAAAATATAATAACTCATATCCAATCAAACTCCATTTCAAAAAAAAATAAAAAAATTATAGGTACATTCTTTCTCCAATTGAAAAAAGAAAAAAATGATGAACAACACGAAACCAATATTGACGTTGCGATGTTCATGTAGCTAGAATGACTCAGACTCTTGCATTCAGGTGGAGCTGCTCTTGGACGACAAACATGATTTATGGTTCGATTTGAGAAGGCCTCAACCTCGGGAAATTATTATGTGCAAAGTCCGGATAGGAAGAACCGTCCAAATTGTTGCGTATTTATTGAGTCTTTGCTGAGTATTTATAAATACTCAACAAATACTCAATTAATACGCAATAAATTAGCAAATATTCACTGAATACTCAGTAAATACTCACAACTGAGTATTTGCTGAGTATTTACTAATAGTCTAATACGCAATTAATTTGAAAGATTCTCCCCGTTTGAACTCCGCACAAATTAATTTCTAATTAACCTTAGGTATATATTATACATCTTATTCTAAAACTTTCCATGGGTCCCACACCCACTTGCATTCGGCCCTCTATTTCGGATGCTGTCGGTATTGCCAGGGGCCTGCGCGGTCTGTCATCAAGCTCAAATCGGCGTCCCCACACGCCAATTTGCTTCTTCTTTAAGCAATAAATATTTAAAAAAAAATATTTTTTTAATTGAAAGAAAGGGAGGGAAATTAAACGAAATTCAAATGAATTGCGATTTGAATATTTGATTATAAATTTTCATTTATTTTATTTGGGGATATTAAGTCACATATTATATAATTTATGTATATTTATATATCTAATATTTAAAATTCAAATTTTATTTATCTAAAATTTGTGTATCTTAATTATATTAATAATATTTAAATGTAACAAAATATGTTATTTTAATTAATGTTCATAATAATTTTAATATTATTTAAAATTTTAAGTATTATATAAACAAAAAATAGAATACTTTATAGAACGGCCTCTAAATAATATTTATTTTAATAAGTTCACATTTAATATACCATTATACATACCTTCTAAAACCATAGCTTTCTTAAAATAAGTATAATTAAAACACTCAATATCAAATATTTTCAGAATAGCTGGCAAATCCCATGAAGCATTCAAAATGATAGAGTTAAAGGTCGCATTTAATGGATAGTTGAAGATTGATGAACATTTATATTACCCATAATATCAAATAGAGAGCTACCTTTACATCGAGGGTCAAAGTAAAGAGAACTTAGTACCATAAGAAATTTAATGTTCGATAACATCAAATAGAGAGCTACCTTTACACCGAGGGTCAAAGTAAAGAGAACTTAGTACCATAAGAAATTTAATGTTTGAAGTGACTCTTAAACGTGTAAGCCGCTTGCTTATTCGTATTCCACGTTATAGAGACTTATTGATTGTGAGGAGAGAATAGTGAGCAATATATATTTTCATGCAAGTTGAAAAGAAGGGAGCTATATGTCACGACCCGACCCGAGACGGATCCCGCCCGCACCGGGCCACGACTAGCCAAACGAACAGATTAACCAGGATCTGGCTTTGGAATTTGCTTCAGAACTGATTCTTCCAAAAAGTTCAACTCAAAAACAGACGCACATAGCTACTATGAAACATCAAATGCAGCTGAACAAAACATCTATTTTTTTTCTTTCTTTTCCTCAAAACAATCATCTACAACTACAGGCCATGGCTCAAACAGAAAGAAACAGAGCAGAAGAGCCATGTCTGTACAAAAATCAAAAGTACAAAACAATACCTACATATCAGACTCTGAAATCTAGTTCTGGACTTCATTCCCTTTCCCAGAACCTGAAAACCACCAGAAAAATACAACCTCCAAATAATCTAAGCTTTGCATAGCACATTTAGGTTCGCGTTTATTAATTATTCAAAAAGATTTTATGAATTTTTCCTAAGCCCCCATCATAAAAGAACATAAGAGTTATAAGTAATTTTTTGATAACACATTTAGGTTTTACTTGGGATAATTTTTTTAAATTGTTCTAATTTAATAAATTTTTATACTGAAAGACTGCTTTATAAATAAATAAGAAAACTATAACAAACGAAGCTTTAGGCAAAAATATCAAAATATTTATTTGATATTGGCCAACACGAAGGGCTAAACCAAGATTAAGACCAAATATAATAATTTTAATGCTTTTATAAAATGTGTAAAATAGCCGGTGTAAATGCCAAATGTAAATAAAAAAGAAGCTCAATTTGATTTTTTTGCTATTTTATTCACAAAATTGTGCACATAAACCAAAATTTCAAGTTAGCTTGCTCCAAGCCCTCATATTTATATAGAACAAAATGAGAACTCGACATATTCATCTATAAATACTTTAATATAGTTTTCATAAAAAAAATTATATCAATAATATATTAGTATTGAGTGATGTTGTTTATAGGACATTAAAATTGTGTCAAGTTGATTGGTTCAACTTATCTAATTAGACACAACTATATATGCCTCAATGAGATCAACTAAATGACATTAAAAATATTCTAATATGAGCCCAAATAAGACACTTGAAGCATAGTTGGATGGGTACAAACATTAAGTGAATGACTATATAATATTTGATTTTTACATACTTATAGTTAAATTAAATGAGCATTTTGATGGAGTATTGTAATGAGTATAAGATCACTCGATTCTAACAAAACTAAGATTATTAAAGTTATTGAATATTGAAAGAACGATTTATGATTAGAAAAATCAGCACTAATCGTTAGATGAACTGATTTGAATTTTTAGTTAGATTTATCAAAATGAAATTATGACAAATTATAAATAAACCTTCATTTTTTGCATTAAAGAAACTTTTATTTGAGAGTGGAAAGATTTTTTTAGGTTTGAATAACTTTAGAGCTCACCTTAATGTCTAATTATCGCTATTGACTATTGTTATTCACATGTTTTAACTAGTGTCACTTAACTTCTATAGTCCATTCATCATTGTCAAATCATCATCATATGAATGTCATTGGTCGACTGCCATCAACCATCCTTTGTTATATGACTAAAACAATTAAATCGACGGTGCCTCGCCGCCAATACTCCAGTAATGTCGTCAGACAACCACCATTCAATACTTGTATAATATGCTCTGCTACTTCAAGTGATTAAGATAGTATTCTAAATATTATAATTCCAGATTCTTCTATTTACGAGAAGAGTGAAACTTTATAAGCTCTATTAATATAGTTGATAATGTGTTTCCTATGTTATTCTTTTTGTATGTGCATGTAACATCTTCCCCATTGAACGCCGACAATTCTTAGGTGTATTTGGAATTCCTTAGATTATGAAGAGTTCCAAATACATCATAAATTCATCGTCATTGGCCACCGCTGCAACCCGCTGGCTACTGAGCCCCGCCCACCTCGGATAGGTGACAATCACTATCGTTGTAGACGAAAATCATTGCCGCCCCTCCATTGGCTGCTTCCGCCCACCACTAACACTACCATCCACTACCGTCGGCCATCACCCATTGCCATTGGCCACCACCAACTACTACTCTTTTTGAACCTTACATTGAATTTATTTAACTTCAAACCAAATAAAAAAAATTAATCACATATATTTATTTTACATTTATTTAAATAACTTTAGTATTTCTTTCACACTTCATTTCTTTTATATTGTATTTATTTTTCAATCAATCAAATAGCAAACTCTTTAATTTGAAGAAAATTTAATATGCCAAAAAAGTATATATATATATATATTCAGTAGGTTAAAGTATTTAATAATTTCAATATTAAATATTAATCAAATATATACTATTAATGAAGAGATGCTTGATGCTCAGCACAGAATAAATTATAAAAATTCATTAATTATTAATTAAACAATTAATATTATATTTAAAAAAATAAAAAAATTTAGATTCATCAAAATTATTATTTTTTTAAATATTCAAAAAAATAAATTAAAAAATCCTATATAGTTCAAGTCAATTAAAATAAATTACACAAATGAAATTGAACAAGTATTTAATTGCAAATTTTATTATAATTTAATGGAATCCAATGCCTTATTTGTACTAATAATCCTAAAAATAATAATTACAGTCACTTTCCTTGTTTATCTTCTTATAGACTTTCAATGCTCATTCCTCCGGCTTCTCTTCTCTCGGCACTTCTTAGTTCTTACTTAAATATGAGTCTTTTGTTCTTCTCTGACTTGGAAATTTTCCTTGGTCTCCTTTGGCAGACTCTTCTTCCTACCCCCTCCTGAATCCCATCTCCATTAAAACTCCTCCTCCTCGTATTTTCCAATCATCTCCTCTCCTCCTACTTTTTTGTAATTATCGTCCTTGATTCTTTCTCCGAGGGGGGAGAGAGAGAGAGAGAGAGAGAGAGGAGGGAGGGAAATGGCGGCCAACAAATTTGCGACTGTCGTTCACAGAAACACGAACAGGATGATATTCCTTCTAATATACACAGCTTTGGAATGGATCTTAATCATTCTCATCCTCCTCAATGCTCTTTTCTCCTACATGATCTCCAAGTTCGCGTCTGTCTTCGGTTTGAAGCCCCCCTGCATCTTCTGCTCGAGGATCGATCATCTCTTCGAGCCAGGAAAGTCCAGGAGCTCCTGGTGCGATTTCCTCTGCGAGTCTCATGCCGGAGAAGTCTCCAAGCTTGGGTTTTGCTCCAACCACCGCCGGCTTGCGGACGCCGGCGATATGTGCGAGGACTGCGCCGCCTCCAAACCCGGCGAGGCAGATCGGAGCGTTCCTCTGCTGTCGTGGATGAAGCGGAGCGAGCAAGGGGAGAAGGATCTGCGATGCTCTTGCTGCGGCGTAGCGCTGGAGAGCGGCTTCTATTCTCCCTATTTGCTTCTCAAGACCGAATCTTGGAATGTTTTGGAGTTCGCTCCCAGAGATAAATCGGAGAAAGGCCAGGGATTTGGATTCGAGGAGACGAAGCAGGGAAAAGAGCAGAAAGAAGAAGAAGAAGAAAAAGGTGAGGCATTTCTTCCTTCTCCTCGTGCTGTAGTGGAGGATGCATCAGTGGATATCCTCTCCCCTCGTGTGGAGAAAATGGTTGATTTGGAACGGATTCTTCCCATTGAATTGATCGATTCCTCCACTATGGTAAAGTATCAGGCACTTGAGATTCTAATAAAAGTTGCAGAGAATGAAAGCACGGCGGTTCCATGTTCTGAAATGCAGGAAGGTCAAAACCATTCTTATATTCTTGTTCCAACCGAGGAGCCCTGCGATGATTTCTCAACAAATGCGAAAAATGCCGATGTGGTAGAATTCGAAGAGCAACAAGGTAACATTTTGTAGTTTTTTTTTCCTCTTGATTTCTCTTTAGAAGTTACCATTCATTCTTAAATATGTGCCTTTTATGATGTTAATTTCAGCTTCTGAAGATGGAAAAGGAAAAGATGAAGCTAACTGTGAAATATCCATAGGAAGTGACATTTGTGACCAGGAACTAATTGAGCCTCCTCAATCCCAGTCCGCTTCAATAGGTCATCAAAATCTGAATGTTCTGAATGAAACTACTCATGATGACCCAGGTACACTTTTTTTTTTTCTTATCAAACCAAATTCTATAACTTCCATTGCTTCCAGACCCTAAAAAAACAATTCCTAATTTGAATTTGCAGCAGTAACCGAAACTGAACCATCAGAACAACCTTCTAGACGAGCGAAACACCTTAGGATCTGTCCAGTTCTTTCTGAAATTGAAGAGGAGAGAATAATGCCTGAGACGCCTACAACTCCTAATTATATAGAAAGTTTTCCTGTTCTGCACAAGAGGTTTCTGTTAGAAAGGAGAGAATCTGGAACTGAGTCTTTAGATGGAAGCATTGCGAGTGATATTGACAATCTCGAGCCACCCACCATAGATCGTCTCAAAACTGCTCTGAAATCCGAACGAAGGGCTCTTATTGCGTTATATGGTGAACTGGAAGAAGAAAGGAGCGCTTCTGCTATAGCTGCGAACCAGACAATGGCAATGATAACCAGGCTTCAAGAAGAGAAGGCTGCTATGCAGATGGAAGCACTGCAATATCAGAGGATGATGGAGGAGCAATCGGAGTATGATCAGGAGGCATTGCAGCTCCTCAATGAGCTAATGATGAAGAGAGAGAAGGAGAAGCAGGAGTTGAAGAAGGAGCTCGAGGTATATCAACATAAGGTTCGTGCTTATGAGACAATTGAGAGAAGGAAAATGCCAAAGGGAAGCAGGAGTGGAACTTCTTCAAGTGCCGAAGAGAGTGACGAAATCTCACTTGAATCTCAGGAAGGTGAGGATGGTAATCAGAATTCTATGGAAGATGACGATGCTGTTAACAATCTCATTATCCTGGATAAATCCTTAGCTGAATTTGAGGAGGAGAGGGTTGCCATACTTGAGCAGCTAAAGGCATTGGAGGAAAAACTTTTCACGATAGATGATGAGGATGACTCTTTTAATTCAAAACATATGAAGCAATTACCAATCGAAAATGGCCATGGGATCAATGGAGATTGTGAATATGGATTTGTAAATGGTTCTTTAGATTCTTTGGATGCAAATGGATGTCTTGATCTTGATCAAAAGGGTGGCGAGATTGAAGGGAAGAGGCTTCTCCCCCTCTTTGATGCCATTAGCTTAGAAAATGAAGATGAGCCTAGCATCAACCACAAGAGTCTGGCTATTTCTGAGGAGGTTGATCTTGTCTATGAGAGACTACAGGCTCTCGAAGCAGACCGTGAATTTCTCAAGCATTGTATGTCTTCCTTAAAGAAAGGAGAAAGAGGAATAGATCTCCTTCAAGAAATCCTTCTTCATCTTCGTGATTTAAGATCTGTGGAGCTTCGTTCAAGGCATATTGATGCCTAATTTCAATTCCTTCTGTTAAGTCATTTGCTTGTTTTGCTTCTGGTTTTGTATAGTTTATAGCTTTTTTTTATTAGGAAGAGGAAGGAGGAGGAGGAAAGGAGGCTCCTTGCACAGCTCTATGCTTTGCTTTTCTTGCTTTATTCAATGTAAGCTTGGTCCCATCACCGGCGTTCATGGATGAATGTTTGGTGTCTGATCAGGCCGTGGAGGGTGGCCGGCAAGTGGGCCACTCAAATGATGTGGCTGTGGCGGCAATCATGGCTTGCAAAGCTGGCCATGTAGCCATGTTTCCTCTTGACAGGTACAGAAATAGTCTCAAAGAAGGAAAGAAGGTTGGTTGAGTGGAGTTCCCTTTGTTCTTTTATTATTAGATTCTTTTTTTTTTAATTTTTTTATTGTGTTTCTTTTTTCAGAATCTTTCTAGTGTTTTACTGTAATATGCTTTTTTATTTTTTATTTTTTATTTTTTTTATTAATATACGTGCAGAATGTATAGTATTTTAATCTGAAGTTGGCAATTAGTATGTCGATTGATTTAGTTGGTAAGATTTTGAAAATTGTTGGTAAGCTCTTATGATCAAAATTTTCTTATATTATATTTTTTGTCAATCAATTTAAACATAGAGCTATAGCTCACATTGATCTGTTGGCAGAGAGTTTTGACTATCAACTAAGAGGTCTTGTATTTGAAGTTTGCGTATGTAAGTATGTATGAGTTTGACTTGGGTTTTTGTTTGGGACAGCTTTCTTACTGCTTCTTAAAGCTTATATTAAAAAGCTGCTTTAAGAAGTAGTATGAAAGTCATCCCAAACGAAGCCTTAATTGGCTCAAAAGTCCCGAGAGAGAGAGAGAGAGAGAGAGAGAGAGATTATGGTTGATTAGTCATAAATTGCCTATCTATTTCATTTACCATAAAGCTATTGAGGAGGGTGAAATCTTGGCTTTAGGTTGGTTGGGTTGGTGGAATATTCTGATCAACTATTGGTTGTTGTTATGATTTTTGTGTTATAAAATATTGAATCGAAGCTTTGCAATATGATTGAAATATTTTGGGCTCAATTGTAAAAAAAAAAAAACCTTTGTTTTTAATTAGATTCAAATAAGGATATCTCATTCATCCCTAACTTATAATTTAGATATTAAATATAATCTTTATATTATCAAATATTTTTTGGCATTTAATAAGATCATTGAATTATAACAAGTTAACAATGATTTTATTGACTAAATTATGTATAGCTCAATTAATCATAAAAATACATAAAAAGATATGTCAAATATTGTAAAATATATAAAAACATAAGTTTAACATATATTTTGTAAGTACCACTATTAAAAAACATAATCTTGAAGACATAAGTATTCCATCAAATGTATTTTTTAGGCTTCGTTTGGTACGGTTTTCTTATTGCTTAAAGCAGCTTTGTAGTATAAAATTTTAATTTTTGTACTAAAAAAATGTTTTAAAAAACAGTAAGAAAACCGTCCCAAACAATATCTTAGGTTTTGTTTGGGATTATTTTTTTGCGGCCTTCTTAAACAGCTTTTTAATATAAAAGTTTATTGAACTATAAAATTTTGTACTAAAAAAATGTTTTATAAAGCAATAAAGAAACAGTCCCAAACGAAGCCGTAGTGTTTAAAATTTGCTCATTGAATGGTTGAAAACAATATTTTTTTGAATCAGTTGTACAAAATGTATCACATTAACTTAGAAAAAGAGAGCCAATTATATATTGCAATGATTTAGGCTTCATTTGGGATAGCTTTCTTACTATTTTTTAAACATCTTTATAGTACACAAATTTTCATTTTTTTACTAGAAAGCTGCTTTAAGAAGCATTAAGAAAGCCGTCTCAAATGAATCCTTAATTTTTCAAAACATAAGCAATATAAGAAATTTGACTATTTACAATGATTTAGGGTTTGTGTGGGACGACTGTAATTTTTTGTAAATGTGATTATAAAATTGTAGTTGAAAAATGATTTTTTTTTAAAGTTGTTGTAAAAAGTAATTTCCTAATATAGCAAAAAAGTAGCATCCGAACAAAACTATGATTATGATCTAAAAGTAAAATAGTCAGAAAATAGTCTCAAACTAAGATTTTAGGTTTTGTTTGGGTCAGCTTTCTTACTGCTTCGCAAAACAATTTTTAGTACAGAAAAATTCTTGAACTAAAACATTTTATATTAGAAATATGTTTTAGAAAACAGTAAGAAAATTGTCCCAAATGAAATCTTAGACTTAAAATTTTATGAATATAAAATTTGAAGCATGAAAATGGTGAAATGGGAATTAAACTTTGTCAGTTCAAAATCTAAACACAGAAGATTTGTAAGGCTGGTTGGGCCCTTCTACAGCTTAAACAATCCATACTTAGAGCGCACGTAATGATTGTTTAAGAGAAATCAAAAAGGCAGTTGTGATGTGGCTTCATGTCTTAGTTGAAATATAAGTTCAAAAAATGGAGAGATTATTAGGTGCGGAGTGCGGACAGGGAGAACTGTCCGCACAAGTATTGGGTATCTAGCGGTGCCCGCACTCGGTACCGCTAGTACTCAGTACTTGTGCAGATGGTGCGCAGTCCGCAACTAATAATTTTTCCTACAAATGTGAGAACCAATAAATTTTTTTTATTTAGAAAAATGACAAACTACTGTTCCTCAAAGTTGAACTATTGTAACACGTTATGACACGATTAACTTGAATTTGAATTTGACTGTCATGAAAATGCCTGAATCCATTTGGGTCATAAACGGGTTAAGCGTAAGAAGGCCAGTTTGAACTCGGTTAACCAATTCAAATGACAAGAAAAAATTTGCAGAATTTATTTAAGATAAGTGAAATATAAATTATTATTATTATTTTATATATTATTGTTTATCTTAAAATAAATTTGTAGAAAACTTTTTTTTTAATAGGTTTCGTATATCCATTTATCATCGACAATAGAGTTATTGTGTGATTCTAAGGATCTGCTTGGGATGGCTGCAACATTTTATTAAAATTGGCTACGAAGGTGTTTGGGGTTCAGTAACTTAACTATTCTGGTTTTAAAAAATAGTTTTTAATCGCAAAAATTTCTAATATATAATGAGTGAGATAGCTGCAACCAAATGAAATTGTGATCATTATCTAAAAAAAACAAGAATGTTGCCTCAAATCGTACCCTAAGGTTTCGTTTAAGATGACTTTCTTATTGCTTCTTAAAATAGATTTTTAGTACAAAAATTTTTATACTAAAAAATTATTTTAAGAAGCAGCAAGAAAGTTGTCCTAAATGAAGCCTAAATCAGATAAAAGTTTTGTTTGTCAATAAAAAAAAAAAAAAAAAGAAGTTTTGTTTGTCAATTGGGCTTATCATGTAATTTCAAAATTGTTGGGGACTCGAATGACCACATAGCAGGATCAGCTCTAACTTTTGCACACTTTAAGCATTCTATAGCCTATACTTTTTGCATTCTTTAAATGGAAGCAAAATTACAGAGAGTGACAGAAGAAAATATAAGCTAAGCATTTCCTAATTCAGCTTACTTTTAACTTAATGTTTACTTGTAAGAAAAGACAGCTACACAACTCTCCTTGGCCTATTGGTTGAGAGCTTAGGCTTCCAACTAAGAGGTTCAATGTTCTGAGTCCTTATGTATGCGTTGTGTGTGTGAGTTTGCCTTAAATGACGTAAATGTCCCAAAAAAATAAAAAAGAAAAGACAGCTCCAAGCAACGGTGAAAGCGCTGCCCTCATCTCATTTTCTACTTAATATAGTGTTCTTAGATGCCTTAGTGCTTGATGTTTTTAAGCTCTAACTTTAAACTCATTGAATTTGTCTCTTTGAAACGAGAGATTGTTAGGAGCGGAGTGCGGACGGGGAGAACCGTCTGCACAAATATTGGGTACATAGCGGTACCCGCACTCGGTACCACTGGATACCACTAGGTACTCGGTGCTTGTGCGGACAGTGCGCTCTCCGCACCTAATAATTTTTCCTTCGAAACACATAATCAATGCGGATCATGCAGGATGGAAGTTGTTTGGCGACCAGCAAGCTCCTGCCCTAAACCCATTTAATGTTTTGGATCAAGTCATTTGAATCGTCAAATTTTACGAGTTTGAAAACACTCAATTATAAATATATTGAAAGCAAAATTCAAATTTTTATTATAATCCATCCCAACGAGACAAAATCGTGAGAACCTTAAGCTAAATCTGATAATATCTCGATAGTTAAGAGTTTAGGCTGTTGCAGCTGCTATCGATGCTTTTGCTAGTTTGGATGATTGAAGAATTGAGAGTAAATTGGGATCTGTGTATATTGGTTGTTTGTGCTGCTACTTGCCTTCACAGATTAATCATTATTTAAATGTCTCGAGTAGGATTTCATTTTTACTTACACTCAATTAAACAGAAAAAAAAAATCATATGCATTCACTTTACAAACAACCAAACAACATCAAGATATTTACTTTACATTTATTTTACATTGTATTTATTTTTCAACAAACCAAACAACATCAAAGTAAAATGAATATATTGTAAAATAAAACAAAAATGATGCTCGTCAATGGCCGTTGGTTGGGCGATGGTGGCTGATGGTGTGGTCGACGGCCGATGCTGGTAGGTGGTTGCCAATGATGACTTGCAATGGTGGCAGTCAACAGCCGGAGGTGGGTGGTGTTGGCGGGGACCGGCTTTAGGTGGCCGTGATGGCTGAAGGTGGGCGATGACAACGATTTTAGGTGGCGATGACGGCCGGAGGTTGGTGGTGACAATGGTTCTAGGTGGGTGGCAGCCAACAGCTCAATGGAAACAGATGACATGGAGCAACGACACGATGATAAATTTATGATTTATTTAAAAATCACCTAAATCAAACGTATTTTAAATACACTAAAATTCAAATAGTTGGCAAATTTCAAATATACAAAAATTTAATACTATATTTATTTTACTCCAAAATTAGTGGCCTAAAATAAAAATTAATCTAAATATAAATATAATTATATGTTTATAAGTCAACTCAAAAAATTGAGCAAATTTAAAGATGAATTACTAAGCCAGAGGAAGAATTCACTGATTTTCTGCCAAAAACAAAAAATTTATGGGCCTTATTACTCGTTCTTTGAAAAAAGCATAGAAATTAAAATACCAAATTTATTGATTTTTCTCTGCTCTCGTTGAGAGTTGAACTCAAGACCTCCCGCTTACTAAACGGGTGCTCTAACCAACTGAGCTACGAGAGCAGTTTTGCATTGTTTGATTTTTTTTTTAATATTACTAAATTTTTTCAGAGCCTCTATGTCCCTAATGTATTTTCAACAACTAGTATATAGGAAAGATTATTCTGTGCAGTGTTCGAATATGTTCGAAGGTCAATCTGTCATGTCATTCAATGCAGTATATATTAGGTGACATGACAAGTCCAAATTGACTGCACGTAAATTTTTTTTCTTATATAAAATAAAAATTTATAATACTATATCAGCTTCTTAAAAACAACAATTATTTGTTATAAATTCTTTTGCTTTCTAAAGTTTTTTTCTTCCAATTTTTAGTATCAATATGACATACATATTTTTGTCTTTTTTTATGTTATATGGGTAATGTACTAAAAAAAGCAAAAGTTTTCATTTTCTTAGAATTTTCTTCAAAGAATTTTTTTTTGTTGTAAAAATTCTTAAAAGACTATTTGTCCAAAACTTATGTACCATATTGCTTGCATGAAAAATTCACCAAAAGTTTAGATATTTGAATTTCCTAGTGTTGCGGGCTAGAATATATGCGACGATAGAGTTGTATTTTACATATTAACGTTACACGGATATCGAGCTCACACACAGAGAACACACTATTTTTTACGTGGAAAACCCTGAAAATGGGAAAAATCATGGGGTATAGCCCGGTTGAAAAGATTTCATTAGAATTTGAGTTGAATACAGTAGGCTGACTCATCCTTGAGGGCGATCATATTACAAATGTCAACCGTATAGTTGAAGTCTAGTGGTAAACTCGGAAGTTGGGGTGTCATTTAATAGTCCGATTGTGACTTGAAAGAACTATGGCGTCAATTGATAGTCTGGCAGAGTTTAGGGCCTCAAGTGGTGGTCCAGCGAATGTGAGGGCCTCAGGCGATGGTCCAGCGAAGGCGAGGGCCTCTAGTGGTGGTCTGGCAAAGGTGAGGGCCTTAGGTGGTGGTCTGGCGAAGGCGAGGGCCTCTAGTGGTCGTCTGGCGAGGGTGAGGGCCTCAGGCGGTGGTCCGGCGTGGGCGACGACTTCAGGCGGTGGTCCGGGGAACTCCTGCAGTGGTCGATAAGGAGCTTCTTCCATCTCTTCTCTTATTCTTTTCTGCATTGGGTCCATTTTCAAGAAAAATGAGGGGTCTATTTATAGATTTTTGAAATGATATGACCCGTAAATAGATGAGAGATCAACGGTAAATGGGGAGTGGTTGGATGGACGACCGATGTTGAATCCGTTGATCATGAACCATTTGATGGACATTTGAATATCTTAGTAATGTCAGAATTCAATGATCTTGGCTCGTTGGATATGTCTCATCGAGCCACTCGATTCGATTATAAGCACGTTATGTTTGGAAACCGTTTAGTAATCCAAATTGTGGTTTGAACCTTCCAGCAATGCTTCTAACCCTTCGTTTGGACCCGTTTGGGCTCATATCGAGTCAAATTTGGTGTCGTTTGGTTTGTATTTCCGAGACGTTTAGTTCGAATATAAGTTTGCTGAAATCGAAGTTCATATGGCCTCCAATTTAATTTTTGAAGCTTCCAACTTGATTTTTGCCTCAAGTTTTGTGCTTGATCAAGATAAATTTTTTATGTTATATTACCTAGCAAAATTCTCTTTATATATAAAACATTGGTCTTTCTATGACTCTGTTAGGAGAGAAAATAATAGAAGTTGGCCTAAAATAATTATTTAGAAATTATTAAAAATAATATTTTCATTAGATTTAAATGAGAATTTTGTTAGCATAGATGATATGAAATTTCACTTATATAAGCAAGTCTGGTTATGCTCGGACTGCTCCACCTTCTCTGGTCAGAAAATCATTACAGCAAATGTCCACTACTCATATGCAACCTTTACAACCTGCATCTCCTGATTCTTCATAACTAACTTTTATTCTCCTCTATGCTTTTTATATTTAACTGTACGAAGGAACCAAATGTTTCAAGGAACGAAAACACCTTCAGCAATTTCCATGCCTGCTTTACTCTGTTTACTAATCTCTGGTTTGTAGATTATTTCAAATTTAACTCATAGGACCTCTTATAGTGGAATTTTTATTTGGTTCGGTTGACCGGATGCAAGAAACATCCGGTCCTAGGCAAAAAACGTCTGTAGCGAGGTGTACACCTCGGTACAGACATTTTTTTGCCTAGGACCGAATGTTCCTCTGCATCCGGTCGGAGGACATAATAATTGTTCCTTATAGTGAGATAGAGGCTTCTTCTTATTATTATACGTCATTGTGAATGATAATTGATAAGAAGCATGCAAAAAATATCATAAACCTTCGTTATAAGATGTAACGATAATATCATAAGCTTTCTTTGTCACTTCTATTAGTTTTAATTGTTTAGATGAGTGAGATTGAAGTTTCTTTTGGGACGACTTTCTTACTTCTTAAAATATTTTTTTTTTTCAAAAAATTGATTTTTGAAAACGATATAAAAGTTGTCCAAAGAAACCTATTCAAATATTATATTGTATTTCTATGTATTTAATTTTTGTTATTATGAATTAATTGAATAGATAAAATTTTTTCTAATTAAGGTTTAATTTAGGACAATTTTTTTGGTGTTTTATAAAATAGCTTTTTAATATAACAATTATTTGGACTTGATTTTTTTATGTAAAAAGCTTAAGCTGTCCCAAATGAAATTTAAATATAATAAAATTCTGCCAGAAAAAAAGAAAAAACATGTTTGCTGCAATGCCAGAACCAAGAAATTGTTATTCCATTTTTAAGCCTTTAAATTTTGAAAGCGGCGGCGGGACTGGCAACTCCGGCATCCTCTGCGAAGAATGGGGACTGTCCTTGACTCCCATTTTCTGGCTCTCACGGCTATCGTTACAGTATTCCTTCTCTCCGCCTCTTCCTTTTTTTCAATGGTTTTTATTTTTCCGCTTGATCTGCAAATTCTTACCACGAACGTGTTTCGCAGATAGGGTATCAGTTGTTGTTCTTCTTTGTCACGGCGCTTCTCAGATTCGATAAGGTCACAGATTTTGCAGGTATGGTGGCATATTTCTTTTTTGCTATGTCGATATGCTTTGTTCGTGTGTTAGGATATAAAATTTTGACATGATTAAAAAGAATGGGAGCAGGATCAGAAACCACCCTGGCACATTTCTGTTTCCATTACTTTGTTTCTAGAGAGGTGCTCGGCTCCTAATTCTACACCTCCCAGTGGGAGGATGGGCGCCGTTTAGTGGACAAATAGAATCATAAAGTGAAAAAGAGTTACAAGCCCGACATAGTTTCGGCTTCCAATCATTTTGAATCTCCTGCTCGAATTTCATAACAAAGGTTAATGGGGACCAAATCTGGGATGATATATGACCGGGGTGACTTGAACACACACCCTGGCAAAGGAAACCTGCAACTTGGAAACGGTTGGATTATCAACAGCTAGAAAGCTGCCCGCCTTACTTGCAATTTTTGATTTGCCGATCTCATTTCAACAATTGAACATAAATTTTGGAAGTTTGATCCAAAGAGAAATGTTCGATAACTCTTCCTTAATCGGACAAAATTCCAACACCATTTTTTGACACAAATGGGCACTTTTTTTAAGAAGCACAGGCTCCCATCTCAAATCATATCGAAGTTCTCTTTAAATGTAAATTTAAATAGAAAGAAATTACCTGTAAGATTGAGAAGAGGCAAATTGCCCCAGAGTTTTCATTGCCGTTTGATTGCAGCTAGGCGGGAGCCAAGAATGGTCTCTTGCCTTTAGTGTGATTAACAAGAGAAAGCTCCCATTTTTTTTGTCTAGGAGCAAGGCCTTCCGCATTCAACTCGCTGCTGCTCTAGGCAATATAGGACAGAGAGAAGTTCTTATTGCTGTTGTTATGAGCATGAAAGAGTTCCTTCCAATTGCAAACTCCATGGTGGGGAGAAGTGGCTTGATTAGAGATCTCGGCTCCTCTCAAGGAAGGCAAGGAATGGCTGGCCTAGCCTGAAGGATGGAGGAAGAGGAGGAGGCAGGGGGAGGGGAGGGAAAATTTGTAGGCCAAAAAAACATGAAGCTATCCATGGGGAGGACCTTGAAGATCGAGTTGTCGGGCTAGAAGAGCCTTGTGCAGTTGAGGAATGGGGAGAGCAGAATAGAGAGGAGTTGGAGATGTGAAACAGGGTATATATGGCCTCCGACATGAAGCCATAGGTTATTGGAAACCTTGTAAGGAAGAGAAAGACAAGGTGGAGCTAGTGTAGGTAGACTGGTAGAGAGGGAGGAAGGATGACACTAGCAACAACAACAATAACAACAACAACATCAACATCAAGCCTTTTTCCCACTATATGGAGTCTGCTACATGAAACTTTTTTCTCCATTGTGTCATGTTAAGAGTCAAATTCTCATTTAAATCTTATAAAGAAATGTCATTTCTAATATTTTATAACCAAATCTTTTTAGGTCTATCTCTACCTTTCTTAACATAAACCAAATCTAATACATCCACTCTTCTAACCGGTCATCGGAAGGTTGCCGTTTTATGTGACAAAACCATCTAAGGAGACTCTCTATAATCTTATATGCCACTGGAGCTACTCTAACCTTTTCACGTATATGCTCGTTTCGTATCTTGTCTCTAAGAGTAAGCCACTCATTCACTTGAGGATCCTCATCTCTGCAACAATTAACTTAATATTATGTTTCTCTTTTAATGGCCAACATTCTACGCCATAAAACATTGTAGGTCTCACCGCCATCTTACACAATTTTCCCTTAAGCTTGAGGGTGATTTTTCTATCAAGAGAACAAAAATACCCTGGGCATGAAACCCTAGTAGAGTGAATGAAACCGTGACCCTCTACGAACTATGCGGTTAGATCCTCCTTACACGTTCTTTTTCACCATCTTCTTGTTATTCTTAATTTTCCATGCCACATGTTCTACCTCGTCTTTTCTATCTCTACCAACCATCCTTTACATTGGCTTCTTCTATCCTGTTTCATTACCTGCTTATTTTTTTTATTCACTTCATTTTTTTTTTGGTTATTAAAGCTTACCCATTGTCTATTTTTATTGAAATTTGAGAAAATGACTTTATCTTAATTGAGTGTCAGGAGCATAACTCAACCAAGGAAGAGAGTGAGATTGCCTTGCGAAAGGTTTCCATCAGAGAACGCTTGAGCTTGAAGTTAAAAGAAAGTTGAAAAAATTTTCATTAAAGCTTTTAAAGAAAAATCGTTTCATTTTGATGCTTGGTGATGTTTATGTTGAAGAATTTGAATTATTTCTTCCAAAAAATCATGCTGGAAAGATTTGTCTTTTAATTTAGGTCCATAAGCAGATTGGGTGGAATAGAGCTAGCACATGTTATCAAAAGTTGTGGGAGACAATCATGTCCTAGAGGAGATCTAATGCTCAAATTTTGTCTTGCCAATGTTGGGTTTAGGAAGCGTTTGATGTATGTAGCCTTAGTCTTGCATTGCAAACAAGCTATTTTATGGATGGAAGTTATTGATAAAGAGTAAAGAGTAGATTTAACATCTCATGCAACACTCATTGAGAATGCCTGGTAAATAAGGATGCTAAAGCTGAAAATAAATAGTTGAAACAAGGCTAACAATAATAATGATGCTCAGAGATATTGATGATGATCTTGATGAAGAATTCTTATTTTGAGTATTAGCCCGATGAGCGTGATCGATAGCCCGATGCTTGTGGTAGAGATTCAGAGCCTACCCTACCTATAGATTGAATAGTTTCTAGACGATCGTGATGCGCTTCTTTAAAATCAATGGATCATGAGATTGAATTTTCCTTGGACCATCCTACATAGGTCCTGGTGTAATCTAGTGTCCTTAATGTTGAAAGTATAAATGCCATCTCTAGAAACTCAATGTACTAGAATTGATTTGGTATGAGTCTTGATGTGGATAATTAGACTATGATATTAACCAAGGTTACTTTTTAGTATTGTATCATCTCTCTATGCTATTTCTCATCACCTTGAATCTATGTATTCACTTGAAAATAGGGAGGGGAGAAAAAAAAAGCATCTTGGGGACCTTACTACAAAAGTATGAGGTAAAGATGGAGGGTACTACATTCATCATTTAGAAAGCTTCTCTCTTCACTTTGTGAAAGGAAAAGCCTTTTCTTTCGACTTTATTCCTCTTATATCCTTAAATTTCAATATTTTATTGAAAAAAAAATAATGATAAATTTACCTATAAGATGCATTTCAGTGCTGACTTTAATTTTTTTTAATCAGCTGTATTTCAATGCTCAGACAAACCTTTTGTTCTTATATAATTCTTGAGACTATTTATTATATTCCATGCTCTTCATCTGTTATCAATTTAATATTAAAACTTGCGTAGCTTACTTTTTTATGGTTATATAAGAGTGGATCTGATCCACCATTAAAGTAGCCATAAGGAGTATTACACGGCTAACCCCCCAGATCAACTGGAGATTATATGATGTGATTGGGCTATTATGAGATGCTATTATACAACACAGAGCATAATTTTAATAACATTAGATTTTATTATCATGAAGTGTTAAATTCAGTATATGACAAAGCTCCCAGGGAGAACCTTATTAATAAAAGGCACAACATAAGGCCAAGCATCCTCAAAGAAATATGAAATGGTCTAAGAACAAAGAGAATTTGACAAGCACTCCTAGTATATATATATATATATATATAACTTAATTATAATTAACCTGTTGGAATGTAAAGTTACTTCCAATTATATATAATTATAATATAAATATCTATGCATATATTCATTTGTGTTTGCATGTAAAGCATATATTTATTTATATAATTCACAAATGCATTTGTTTATGAAGTTATATGAATTTGCTTGCAAACATTAAATGTAATTGTTCCTATGCATGCAAAAGTTTTATTAAATGTACCTTTAAGATATTTCACCTCATCTCCATCAGCTGGATTGTCTAATCTCATTTGCAGAGAAAAGAATGCTAGAAAATTTAGCAACAAACAAGCTAGTAGTTATATTATTAAGATCTCTTAGTTCCTTACGTGACAACCTCAAAAGATGGAAGCAAAATCCGGCTACGTTGCTTATCTTCTGTAGTTTTTTTGACTAGCTTGTTTCTTTTGGCCATTTTTTGCTCTCGTTACGCCCAATCTTCATCCTACTTCATTTTTTATGTGAAAATGGTGGCCTTTGTTATTTGGAATTTGGAATTTTTGATTGGATGTTGTCTTATTGGCTTCATTTTGCTCAGGAATGATCTTCTGGCTCTAGGTTGTGTCTTTGCCTCTTGGATGACGCCTTCTTGTGTCCTATTTCTGATTTTTGGATGTCATTCTTTTGCCCGTGTCTAAGAAATGCTTTTATTTTTCACCCCTTTATTTGATGTTTTTGTTTTATTTTTCGTATACAACAAGCTTGTCTGTCTTTATTTTTTGTGCCTTTGCAGAACAGGTGTATTTTTAACCCTCTTCTTTAATTGAATTTGAACTATGATTCTCAATTTCTCCCCATATATATGTATACATAGATTATAAAACCAGTAGCGATGAAGAAATAAAATAAAGCACAATTATTAAAGTTAAAAGAAGATAAAATTGTATAAGAGAGTGTTCTATAACTGCTGTCGGAGCGTGTTTCTTCAAGTTAATTATATCTTTGCATTATTTAGTGTCAAAACTTGCTAGCTTTGCAGTAAGTGATTACATGATGTTTGCTAAATGTATCATATTGTATTCTGCAGGTAGCACAAACTTTGTTCTACTTGCAATACTTACTCTATTGCTGAAAGGATCATGGCATTTTAGACAGGTTATACCTTTTCCTTTTTGAGATATCATTGTTTACTGAAGTTTTTCTCGTACGAATATATGGGCCAGACCAGCCCACGTGCTCGTATATCTGGCATTTTAAAGCTGCCATTAGGCCAAAATAAATGGGTATGGGTTTAAAAAGGACTGTTATTTAAACTCATTTATGTTTAAAGGAAAATCTTAAAGCTTATTAACTAATGTTTTCAAGAGTGCTAGTAATCATTAAGGCAATATGATTGTTTGATACCTAACGCACTAGGAATGTGCTTGCTGAGTACAGTAAATTACTGAAAAAGAAATAGATATTTCACTTGATAAACATATTTTAATTAAGAGGAATACTTATGAAGAGTGTAATTAGATTCTCATAACAGCAATCCATGTCAGAGTGCAATTTTATGAAACAAATTGGTTTCCTCTACCAAATGAGGTGTCATCATTATCCCTCTTCACATCTAATTTTTCCCTTCCCTTTTTTTTTTCTCTTCTTATCCCTCTCCCTCTGCCCTCATCAAAAACCCAAGCACCCAAACCGAGAAAAATAAGCCTCTAGTTTGTAGGCCAAAATAAGGTCAATCCAAGATGATATATAAATCAATATATATATTTTTCTCCCTTAATTCATTCTCTCTTGTCATTCTATAATTTGATCAAATCCTAGATCTGTTACAAGGAATCTAAGAAAAAACAATATCTAACTTCTATAGCAATTTCTCTCAAAATAGTCTAACATTTAAATTTGTGAATTAAGAAAGGTAGAAAATGCAGCTTTGTTTATTTGAAAATATCATTAAGGTTGTCAGTGAACTAGACTTGGTGAACAGTTCAATGCTCATTCTTATAAGGCTCTTTATATTTATTTATTTAGATAATTAAATAAACTTGAACATTAGATCACTTATTTATTTTTGTTCGTGAGCATACTATAATTGCTTATTTGATGACTTTTTCTGTATTATTGTATTAATTTTTTTGTATAATATACACTCTAAAAATTATTTATTGTTAAGGGCATAAGTATGATAAAAATGTCAAACAATAACTAGATATATAGATTATTTTTTTTATTAATATTTAGACTTCACTAAATAACATAAACACTAGCTGTTGGATAATGCTAATTCATTTATGTCCAGTAATGAGGCTTTATATTTAAATCATTAGCATCAAAATATAATTAATTGGATTAAATTAAAACTCAATTATAGTTGAGATCAATAAAAAAGTAATAATAAACAACCTTGATTAGGATTTTAAAACTTAGGTAATATTCAAGCCTGACCTGAACTCATGAGTGAGCGACTTGACTTCAACAATATTGCCTATATTTCTTAATCATCTACCATAATGTTGACTGTCTTGTTATTGTTACAGTTCACTAGATAATAAATATTTTTTGTTTGACAATTCTCGAAAAATCAATAGACTATTATTAGATATAATCAAATAGCCATGGACATAACCAATTAGTCATTGGATTGTGGGATATCAAAATCTAAACCCATCTCCACTAATATAAATATGAGAGTTTTGTGTTCAGGCTATTTTTTGAAAGATAGATTGTATATTAGGTAAGACTTTATATATAAATTTTGCCATCATAATAGACCTTATGATGTCGTTTGAGATTTCCTAGAGGCATAAGCTCATATAATTAATTTTCTCACTCAATCATGAGAATAAACTTTTGATTAAAACTATTATTTTGGCTCTAATGTTGGAATGAAAACAAGCTCAATCATGAACTCATAGTTCTATCATATCAAGTTGTCATGGACTTTAATTTGCTTAATCACTGAAGTAGTCGGCCCAACATGATTAAATGATCCTTTTTAATAGTCATGAGTTGCGTTGTCTAAGAGGCTAAGAGCACCTTGCAGGGATAGGGGAAAAGTTTTCCCAATGGGCCAATTTTTAGGCTGAATTTGACTAACATAGAGTTTCATGCTTTATCAAGTAACAGATAATTTATAGACATAACAAGTAAAGAATATTTGAACTTGGTTCTTCATTCTGGTTTCGAGCCTTAGGGGCACATTTTATGCTTAGTCATGCAATATAAAGGAAGCTTTTTATATCCTTGCCGATGTGAGATTTTTTTTTTATGTGATCATATAAATGCACTTAATATAGCAACTCTTTATAGTATTTGATCAAACTCAAATTTCATTGTTGGGTATAACATGGATGATTGGCTGCTTTGAGCAAGAAATTGCTAGTATTGCTTGAGCTTTTGTTAGGCTTATATATAATAATAATAATAATAAAAGTTGACTAAATTTATATAGAGTTCTTACTAGCAATGATTTGCAATGGCTATGCTTATCATATGTGAAAGCACCTAGAATGCATATATCTTGGAATATAAGGTAGCTTTTTTTTTTTTTTTTAGAATCCAATCCAGTAATGATTAGCGCTAACAGCAAGGTTGTGAAAACTGGACCGGACAATGAACTGGAAGAAGGAGAGGTTCACGGTTCGACCGGTCGAATCCGGATGACTTATAATTAATATATTACTTCAAAAGATTGTTAAAATAATTATAATATAAAATAAGTATATTGCAGCATTTTAATCATATATTTATAAAATTTTAAATAATATAAATAAAAATATTTATACAATTATAACTATCATATTAAGAATAATATTTAAAACAATATAAAATTATAATAATATCTAAAAATTTCATGATCATTAATATAATATAAATAAATTAAATAATGATAATATTAAATACATTACTAAATTAAAATAATATAATAAAAATTATAATATAATATATGATTAAGAATACAATTCATATTTTATTAATTAAATATATTTATTAAGAATAATATTTAAATATATATATAGAACTTTATAATAATAAAATTTTATATTATAATTCTTTTAATATATATTATACTAAACTTATAATATATTTTTGCTCAAAAATTTGAAATAGCTCTAACTAAAGCCTAAATTTAGAAGCGAAATTAGCCAAAAAAGCCCAAATTCATATTCTAAAATATTCATACAAACTTTTTAAGTTCCCACATCATAGAGAGAGTTGAGGATGTTACTTGAACACCTTTATAAATGTGAAGTACACCTTTTTGCGCAAACAAATTATGTTCAAGGTATTTAAAGATAATACTTGCATATAATATGAATATGGGCAAATTAATTCCATCATATTTAATAAAATATTTTAAAAAGCTATAAAAGATTTAATAAACTAAAATATATTGTTTAAAATCTAATAATAGAAAAAAATTAAAACCGCCAATTTTTCCCAACCCGGGACCGGGTTGACCGCCGGTTCAATCCAGTTGATTCGGTTCAATGTAAGAGCCGATTTTGTAAGCTAGATTAGGATCGGCCACCTGACCGGTTCCACGGTTGAACCGAGCCTCGTACCTATCCGACGGTTTTCAAAACAGTGGCTTAACAAGTCAGCCTACTCAATAGGAGAAGTATCTTTAATATGGTGGTTAATTCCAACAAAGGAGCATTAGATAAGCAATATTTATGTACCTTATTCTGTATATGATTTTGTGAATTATTTGAACCATCAGCGTGTTAGATTCTTCGAAATAATACGTAACATCTACATATTATGATTTTTTATATCTTCTTTGGATAATTAGGATGTCTCATGACATCTGGCTGCCAAAATTTGTGATTTGTATTGACTGCATTGTTTCGACATGATTTTTTATTTGTAAATATTTATTTTGTAAACAGTATTTTTAATGTTTACACATTAACCAAAGAGAAGCCATAATACTAAGTTAGAGTGTGCAGAGATCTGAGGAAGATGCTCAGGGGATGAGTGGCTTACACCCTTAGAAGATAGGAACGAATATGAGCGAATACAGTCTGAAAAGGTTGGTTGTAGCTCCAGTAGAAGATAAGATTAGACGAGAGTCGCCTTTAGATGTTTGGGTCACATAAAAACGGCGGCCTTCCGATTGGATACCGGTTAAGGAGGTTGAGATAGTTAGATCTTGACTAGTCGTTAGAAAGGTCAGGGTAACCTAAAAAGACTTGGTTAGAAAATATTAGGAATGACCTTTATTTATTAGATTTAAACGAGAATTTGACTTTTAATAGGACACAATGGAGAAAAAAGATTCATGTAGCCGACCCCACGTAGTGGGATAAAGGCTTGATGTTGTTGTTGTTGTAAGTTTTTTCGTCCAATTTCAACACTTTTTTGTTTCACCATTTGAAATCGACCCAAGAACCTACTAGTATCACCTGAGCAATTGAGACCACCAAGCGTGACCTAGGTTCTTGGTGGAAAAGACATGCTTGATAGAAGATGTGAAGTCTTACATTTTACTTTGATAGTTATTGGTGGGTCAGAAGCCCCGACAACTTTAACATTTATGTGCAAAAGACCAATATCAAATAGATTTATAAGTATATGAAACTTGAACTCAATATTCTTGTATTACTTTGTGATATTGATTGCATTGAGGGTTGGGATTTACATACCTTTCACTTAAGGAAGGCTTTCCTATATGTAGGGCAACCATAGAGTTTTCTTGTTGAATAGATTTTTGCCATTAAAAGCTTGAAAGCCATATAGAATCAAATATATTGGCTAAACATTCGATTGAATTATTGATTGAAATGGCAAACTCAACTTCTACATAATAAAGCTCATTGGGCTTTAAAACTAAATAGGTTGACATCCGTAATTTATGATATTAAAATAAAAAATATAACAAAAGAAAAAATTTATGATGATGAAAAAACTAGTTAGCATTTATTTTCGGAGAAAAAAAGGATTATGATATTCATAACAAAATTTAGTTAATATGAGCTTTTCTTGAATTTGATTTAAGATAAGTACAATATATAGATAAGCAATCATCTTTTGTGTTGCACTCATTTTAAAAGAAATCTAAAGATTCTAAAAACCCATTCTAACCAAATTTTGGTCAATCTATCCTCACTTATTTTTTCTTTTAATTTTTATTTGCTAAGTACTGAGTTGTATTTTTAGGTATGAGAAAACATGATACCAATTGAGTCCAGATACTTTTGTCAACCAACGTGCCTGTAAATAATTTTTCTTGTTTGTTTCTTGACTGATGTAAGATGGTTGTTTTTTATTTTTTCAAATGTATTCATTTAATTTTATTTTTCCTTATAAATTTTAATCTGTTAGTTAAAGGTCACTGATTACCTGAATATATGTGGTGCCATTTTTAATTAGATTAGGGGTAAGGAAGAAGCATGAGTATATAACTAGGACCAGTCCGCCAAATCTATGAATGAAGAAGGTGCACAATATATGTTGGATTTATGTTCATTTTTTTGTGATCTACTTTCCAAGATAACTGACAAAATCCTTTTACTGAAATTCTTACCCAAAACAGTACCAACAAGACGAGATTTATGGCCATTTACTTGATTCCAATTGTAGGTTAAAAGCATATTCGAATAAATCCTGCTTGAATCCTAATCAAATAATCAGAAATTATCCCACCCACAGGGACGGTTGTGATGCCACAGGATCTAAATTTTATCCTTTTAATAAACAACACCAGAGCTATCTAATATGATCTATCAGTAGTAAACAACAAAACATATTAAATAATTTAAAACATTATTGTGCACATCTGTATTCCAAAAAATTACAAAAAAAATTCGTGCAAGTAAAATATTACAATCAAAATACTTTGACAAAGATGGTTTGCGATTTGGAGTTATAATGACTCCAGAAAAAAATTGACAAAGTCAAAATACGGGTTATTACAACGGCACACTGCCAAAGCTATGTAGACAAAATTTTTGGATCCAAAATTTAAAAAAAACTTGCAGGAACAAATGCCGGTAATTTATGAAGGGACACTACATAGAGTCAAGCAGCACTTGAAAAATGCAGCTCTCCTGCTGGATTAGATACTTATCTTGAATACAGAAAATAATGTTTAATAGGTTAATTTTTGGGTTGAATGCATACCATAATCCGGACTATAACCCTAGCATCCTTCATCTGTGCATCCTAAAATATAATGAAATGGTGTGTTCTAGGGTTACTTTTAAAAGTATGAGTTTGAATTTTTACTGTCCATTTTTTCCTTTTCTCTCTAAAATGCACTTGAGATTAAATGAAATATCCCCTATGTAACATTATGAAATTCTTTATCTTATTTCATTATTTTTAACATAAATATGATTCCCTTCTTTCTTCAGATTCCATTTTTTCCTTTTCTCTCTAAAATGCACTTGAGATTAAATGAAATATCCCCTATGTAACATTATGAAATTCTTTATCTTATTTCATTATTTTTAACATAAATATGATTCCCTTCTTTCTTCAGATTGTCCTGACATCTCTTGTGGTAGTCTGGGGTCTTCGCTTGGGTATATTTCTGCTGATGAGGTAATAAACATTAACAGATGATGTTGCCACTCAGTTTTGGCTCACCGAATGACACTCTTAACGCCATTGGGTGTAGGGGGTGCACTATGCACACATATTCCAATTCCCAAATCATTCAGAGTGGCATTAGGTACCAGTCCAAAGTGAGTGGGAGAAACATCAATCATTATTTTTGTGTGAAACATAAAAATAGATTTGTTCTATGCTGAAATAGAATCCTGCAATGGGGAGAAGACAATCGTTTTGATGATATGCGCAATAACTTGGCAAAGTTATCAGTTTTCTGGATCTTACAGGTTTAATTTATAAGTTCTCTGTTCTTCCATCTCCATTTTTTAACTTTATACTGTATGTTCTTTTTGAATCTTATGAGGTTGTCACATGAGATAATTCTATTTTAAAGATTTTCTACTCTACTACAGGCCGTCTGGGTTTGGACTGTAAGCTTGCCTCTTACAATTGTGAATGCTAGTGATAGAAATCCGTCTTTAAAACCTCAAGATATAATTGGATGGATAATGTGGTTTGTGGGGTTAACTGTTGAAGCTACTGCTGATCAGCAGAAGCTAGTGTTCAAGAATTCTCCTGCAAACAGAGGGAAATGGTGCAACATAGGTGTCTGGAAATATTCCCGTCATCCAAATTACTTCGGTGAAGTTAGTATTTGCCAGATTCCTTGCCTACCTTCTTCAGTTATTTTCTTTTTTTTAATAACTACTACTTGAAATAATTGTTTTTGCCAGATTCCTTACCTACCTTCTTCGGATCCCTTACCAATTTTTTTATAGATTTATTTGTTGAGTGTCTTAATGCCTACATTTATTTTTTGCATATTCTATCTCTTGTGCTTGCTATATGTAGGCACCAATATTATAGTCAACATTTCAAGTTCTTTTCTTTTATTGTAACTGGTGTCATAGCCCCGTTAGCGCTTAGCTATTAATTGGCCACTCCCTCCCTGCCAACTATCTCTTGTGGTCTAGGCATTTTGTTTTCTCATTGATCTCATGAGAAACGTTATCTTTTGGACTCTTCAGCTCTCAAATTAAATTTACACTACCAAATAAACAAAATGATAAGCCTTTAACCATGCGGTTCTCACATGGATGGTTAATAGTTTCAAACAGCCAATTACTTCTAGTCATGTTTCATGAGGCTGTCAAAGGGACATGAAACTTTCTTTGTTCCACTTACTGCCAAGATAATAACATCTCTCGGATATACACTCTCTGCCATAATAACTTCTATTTACAATAAATCTACAAATATGTTCAAGACTTACATAATACCTTAAAAGGCAATTGGGATGAACTTCTTCAATATCATCCCTTGACCATTGCCACTACATAAGCGAAAATAAAGTGAGAATTATTTTATTGTCAAATTTCCCTGATCATCATCCATTTTTCTAGTTTGTTCAAACTAGATTAATGACAAACTCTATGGTTTCCAATACCTCTGTAGCTATTTCATGTATTATTCAAGTAATTGGGTTTGTTGTTCCAATTTCTTCTAAGGCTGTGAGGATAATCAAGTCATGGTCATAACTCAGATGATCCCTATAGGAAAAATTTTGGTTATCCTCCCATTATTCAAAATATCACCACTATTACTACTAATTTTATTGGTACTTATTTTAGAATTGTCTCTGCCCTAAGAAGTATATGATTGCCTACCACATAACCCCCCTTAAACGAAAGGCTAATTCCGCCCTTGGTGATGCAGTTCATTGAAATTTTGGAAGCACGACACATTAAAAAGCAAGCAACTCAGTGCATTGAAAAGAATGTGATGTGGTTCATCAAAAAGCATTTTACAATGCATTGCAAAGTATGTGAAGCAGTGCATTAAAAAAGCATGTGAACGATGCATCGAAAGCATGCATATGATGCATGAAATTGATTTTTTTGTTGTTGCTCAAACTAAGATTCTTAAATGCGCTAATCAAACGGTTATTTGGATTATTAACAACCCAATTTTTCATGAAAGAATAAAATATATTGATGTTGATTGTTCCTTCATTAGAGATTCAATTCTATCAATGGAGATCATCACTCGTCCTCCAACGAAGACTACAACAACAAAAACAACATCAAGCCTTTTTCCCACTACATGGGGTCGGCTACATGAATTCCTTTTCGCCATTGTGTCTTGTTAAAAGTCAAATTCTCATTTAAATCTAATAAAAAAGATTATTTCTAATATTTTCTAACCAAATCTTTTTAGATCTACCTCTACCTTTCTTAACATAAGTCAAATCTAATACCTCAACTTTCCTAACCGGGTCATCGGAAGGCCTGCGTTTAATGTGACCAAACCATCTAAGGCTACTCTCTCTAATCTTATCTTCCACTGGAGCTAGTCCAACCTTTTCACGTATTTGCTCATTTCGTATCCTATCTCTAAGGATAAAGCCACTCATCCACCTAAGCATCCTCATATCTGCAACCTCCAACAAAGCCTAATTCACAAATATTTTGATAAAAACTATGGGACCTCTTTACTTCTCTAATATTTGTAGTAAGTTGTATCCATATGCTTTGATTTGAGGAGGGTGTTATTGATGGAGAATCTCTCATATTGAAAGCTTGTAAAAATTAAATAATTATGATTCTATGTAGTGTTTTCATAATTGAGAATATGTTCCCTATTATTTATTTTTTATTCTATCTCTTGCATTTATCTATATTTAGGCGTTGGTACTATAATGAATTGTATTAAGATGTTCTCAATTGCCATAACTATTATGTTCAACATTTGCTAAACATTTATCTCATGTAAATAGATTCTCCTATGGTGGGGAATATTTGTCGCCTCAACCCCAGTTCTAGAAGATGCTGAATGGCTTGTTGTATTTGGTCCAGTTTTTCTGACACTTCTGCTTCTATTTGTTAGTGGTATTCCACTTCTTGAGGTCTGAGTCTCTTTTCCCATCTTTCTCATATAATATATCAATTGCTTTTCTCTGCTGCTTATTGTAACCTCAGTGTTGTGTTACCTAATTCCTGTAGACTTCAGCAAATAAGCGTTTTGGCTCTGTGGAGGAGTACCGTATCTACAGATCTATTACTAGGTATGTGATCTAAGGCTTTGTTTGGAACGAATTTTTTACTGCTTCTTAAAACAGCTTTTTAGTATAAAAAATTTTAATTTTTAAACTAGAAAGTTATTTTAAGAAGCAATAAAAAAGCCGTACCAAACAAAGTATAAGGTTGTAAGCAAATTGAATTTGAGCAAGCCAAGTTTTATTAAGCTCGGCTCATTAAGTCAAACAGCTTTTTTATTGTTTCTTAAAATGTAGTTTTAATACAAAAATTTTAATTTTTAACTTAAATTTCATTTTAAGAAGCAATAAGAAAGCCATCCCAAACAAAACCTAAGCAAATTAGTCAAAATCATTTATTTTTATTTGGCTCTTTAACTTACCACACTATCAAACAATGTTTTGTATGTGTTTGGCTTGTTCAATTTTTGAGTTTACAAAAGTTGGTTGAACGCTAACAATGAGCTTTTCTAACAACCTGTAGTCAAAATAATTAAAAGCTTTATAATGTTTAAGTTCTGTACATTAACAACCTGGATTATCGAATGTCTTTCTTTGATTTTCAGTCCTCTAATTCCACTGCCACCAGCACTGTATGGAAGCTTGCCTGTGTGGTTCAAGTTGGCATTCCTTTTCGAGCTTCCTCTGTACAGTCATGGAATTCACCATGAAGGAATGCTGAGCAGAAGCTGAAGCTGAAGCTGAATCTGATGAGTTTTACTTGGCTTCTGTAGATTATATGTTTCACAGATATTTCATTTTAAGGTCTGGCATATCTGAAAAGTTTTTTTGGGTGCTTATACCTTACAATAAACTGTAATATGATAAAAGGTGCAAACCATGCCATTAATTGCACTATCAGATGTGATGGTTGAAACAATGAATTTAAAATGTTTTTTGTGTTTTTTTTTTTTTTAATTCAGTTAGTATAAAGATAGAGTTTATGAACTTGCAATAGATCATTAAAAATTTTCTACCTGTAAGAGCGTCTCCAGCTGATCGCCTAATACTCGTTTGGCCTCGCTGGTTTGTTCTATTTGATCGCCAAGTAAAACGCCATTCGGGTGAGGGTGAAAAGTGCAACCCGCTATATATATATACAAATTAGGTTAGAAAGATTATACATATAATATTCTTTTGTTGGTATTAGAAAAGGAATTTGGTTGAAGATGAGTTACTGCATTTTAGAATATTATTGTATTTTGGAGTGAAAATTGAGCTTTTGAGTTGGAGATGGCCTAAGACTTGAATAAGATTTTGAATTTTAAGGCTTATGAAGAAAATGAAGGAATATATATTTTTAATATATTTTTGATAGGATTTAAATGCATATCATAAAATCCTTATATATTTAAATTTCTAACACCTGAATCTGTATATTTATTGAGATAATATTAAAATTTTTATATCAAATCTAAATTATCATTTATATTAACATATTTAAAATAAAAATATTTTTATGAATGTATTTTGTTAGAATTTAAATATTAAAATAGTATACAAGGAAATGTAGATTTTTAATTTTTTATATTAGATATGTAAATATTTGATGGTATGTATTTATCCCTCTTAAAATTAATAAATAAAAAATCATTTCTAATATTTTTTAATCAAATCTAAAAATATTTTTTTATATGAAAGTTCTGAATCAATAGCATAAAAAAGCAAACTTTCGCAAAGAGAACAGGAAGGCTTCCCATGCTATTGAAACACTTCAAAGCCAAAATCTCCCGCACCCTAAGAACTCTTTCCTCCCAATCCTCATCACCTAAATACATAGACGCCCATGCCATCAAAACATGCTTTCATGTTGAAATTTTCCATGCCAATAAGCTCATCGAATCCCTCCTTGACAAAGGAGACTTATGCAATGCACGTAAGGTGTTCGACGAAATGCCTTCCAAGAACATCTTCACTTCCAACCGCATGATCTCCGGCTATGCCAAGTCTGGCAACCTCGATGAGGCCCGACAGCTTTTCCATGATACCATTGACCGCACTGCCGTCACATGGACCATCATGATCGGTGCTTGTTCAAGCTCAGGTTGCTTCCACGAGGCCTTCGAGCTCTTCCACCAGATGTCGAGCTCTGGTATCATGCCGGATCGGGTTGCGATCATCGCATTACTAAGTTCATGCCAGGGTCAGAACATGGCGGGATCTGTTGTTCAGATTCACACGCATGTTTTGAAATTTGGTTTTGATGATTCTGTTCAGGTGTTGAACACTTTGGTAGATTCCTACTGTAAATCCGGGCTGCTGGGATCAGCAAAGAAGATGTTTGAAGAAATGCCGGAAAAGGATTCAGTGACTTATAATGCAATGATTAATGGTTTCACCAAGGATGGGTTCCATGATGAGGCACTTGAGCTATTTGGAACAATGCGAGAGTCAGGATTGAAGCCTTCACAATTCACCTTCTCTGGTGTTCTCTCATCCGCCAACGGACTGGGCGATTTAGCTCTTGGTCTGCAGACTCATGGGCTAATAGTAAGAACAAATTTTCATTGGAATGTGTTTGTGATAAACTCTTTGCTCGATTTCTACTCTAAAACCGATCGGGTTAATGATGCCAGAGTTCTGTTTGATGAAATGGAGAACCGAGATAATATCTCTTATAATGTTATGATCTCCTGCTACGCTTGGAGAGGACTGGTTGAAGAGGTTTCCCAACTCTTTCAAGAACTTAAGCAAATGGAATTTGATCGAAAGCTTTTCCCTTTCCCCAGCTTGCTCAGTGTTGCTGGATCTCTTCCAGATCTTGAATCTGGCCGGCGGATTCATGCTCAGATCATTCTTGCCGGCGCTGCATCCGATGATCTTGTTGCGAACTCTCTCATAGATATGTACTTCAAATGCGGTGTAATGGAGACGGGAAAGTTGATATTTTTATCAAAATCGGATAAGAACACTGTGTCGTGGACGGCGATCATCTCAGGCTATATCCACAATGGGTTAGATGAAGAAGCGCTGAGATCTTTCTCTAATATGAGAAAAGCTGGAATCACCCCTGATCGAGCCACTTTCTCTTCCATTTTAAGCGCTACTGCAACCCTAACTTTGCTGGTTCTCGGGAAGCAGATTCACTCATCTGCTCTTCAGCTAGGCGTTTCGTCAAACGTCTTCGTGGGCAGCGCCTTGCTCGACATGTACGCTAAATGTGGATGTCTGGACGATACCCATCAAGCTTTCGACGAAATGCCCGTTCAAAACATAGTAACCTGGAACGCCTTGGTTACCGCTTACGGCCAAAATGGACGTGCGAAGGACGCAATCAACTTGTTCGACGAAATGCTTCGCCAAGGAATCAAGCCAGATTCAGTCACTTTCCTCAGCATCCTCTCTGCTTGCAGCCACAACGGCTTCGTTGAGCAAGGGCTTCAATACTTCCACGCCATGAAAGAGCCGAGAAAGGAGCACTACGCCTGCGCGGTGGATATGCTGGGTCGTGTGGGGAGGTTTGATGAATTGGAGAGCTTGATCCATCAGATGCCTTTTGATGCCGATGAAATCATATGGAATTCAGTTCTAAATTCCTGCCGGAAACACCGAAACGAAAAGCTGGCAGCAAAAGCCGCGGAGAAGCTGTTTGCTATGGAGCTCGGTGATGCCGCCCCTTACATAATAATGTCGAACATCTACTCTCAATCCGGGCGATGGAACGAAGCCGCCGGCGTGAAGAAAATGATGAGGGACCGAGGACTAAAGAAGGAGAAAGGATGTAGCTGGGTTGAGATTAAGGACAAGATCTATGTTTTCGCATCAGATGATGGGATGAATCCAAGGATTGGGGAAATTAGGGCGAAACTTAAGGAATTGGAAGTGGAGATGGAAAATAAAGGGTACAGACCTGATACGAGCTGCTCGTTGAGGAACGTCGGCGAGGATGGGACGAAGGCTGAAGCGTTGAAGCGGCATAGTGAGCGGTTGGCGATAGGATTTGCGCTGATTAGCACGCCGGCGGGGTCGACGATTAGGGTTATGAAGAATTTGCGAGCTTGTGTTGATTGCCATGAGGCGATCAAGGTGATTTCGAAGATTGTGGAGAGGGAAATTATTGTGAGGGATAGTAGCCGCTTTCATCATTTTAAGAATGGGATTTGTTCTTGTGGTGATTATTGGTGAATGAGATGTTGGAAAGAATTTTTTTTTAGAGGCAATGAAATGTAATGTAAAAAATATATATTTAAAATATTTTAAATTATTTGAATGAATATAAAATAAATATAAATAATTATTTTTTATTAACTTAAAATAAAATATATTTAGTGTTAAATTAAATGATGACGATAATCTGGCCGTCATAGGCAGCGGCGGCAATTAACAACGGCTTGTGGCGATGTCCTGTGGTGATCGACAAGAGTAGTGACGATATCAATGATATAATTTATAGTGTAATTTGAAATCAGCAAAATCATAAAATTTTCAAAAATAGCATGAAAATTTGAACTAGATGATGAACTTTAAATATTTTCAAACAATTTTACTTTGTATTTTTTTTTTAACTTTAATCAAATATTAATATTTTTTAAAAATCGGGGCATTCAAAATGTGATTTGGACCTTTTTTTAATTTCAAATTAAACCCTTAGCAAATCAGAAAAATTCAAAAAATAGAAAATATTGAAAATGATAGTGTGATACGTCATCACAATTAGCTTATCGGGCACGAATCTCGAGGCAAGTTAGTTGGAAACCTCAAAAAATTAAATCGCGGGAGCACCTGAACTCCGATTTCAGCGAGCTTACAGTCAAAACTGAGCGTCTCGGAAAATACGAAACCCAGCGACACCAAGATCAACCCAATCCGAGCCGCAAATGAGTCCGAATCCAAGGCTTCGGAGAGCTGTGGAAGTTCAAACTGCAATTTGAGTTACCAAGCGGTCTCTCGATTTTGAAGAGCTTATTATCTCCGAATCGTAACGGCTCGATCGAGACGAATCGCAACGAGCCCAAGAATCGCAGATTCCGACATCATTAAGGCTTTCAAATGCCCAACGACGGTGCATGATCGTAAGGATTCATATCGGCCGTCCTTGGACCACTCCCTATTCGCCCTGATCTGCATGCTTTTTTACGGGTCATGCACTCCGAAACATCTAAAATAGAGCCCTCATTTCTGCATTAAGAGGAAAATCCAAGCAAGAGAGAGAGAAGAAGAAGAGAAAGGAAGGAGTTCTCGCTCGACAGCCTGCCGGACTCAACCGCCGGATCCACCGCAGAACCTCGCCGACCACCGCGACCACCGCAGGAATCTCGGTCGAACCAACCGCCGACCACCAGGAACCTCGGCCGGAACCACCACAAAACCTCGCCGGACACCACCTTAGGCCCGACATTCCCGCTCCCGACGTCCTGCCAAAAGACCCGACGTCTTGTTCAGCGCCCGACGTTAAGTCCCGATCGTCCTGTGAAGACCGACGTCCGCTGAAGCCTGACGTCCTGCCTTAAACCCGACGTCCTACTCAAGGCCAGACCATCAACATTCCGATCTTCCAATGACACTGGGTCTAACACCTGACTCCTTGTCTACCTAACCGCCTACGGTCCTTCCTGATCTCTGTCGCGCTACTAACGGTCCACCCAACCTCCATGCAGCAGACAATGGTCTTTCTGACCCCGGTCCTCCTGCGATACGGTCCTTTCCGACCAGACAAACATGTAAATGTAATTCCTACCATGTAATACAATCTATATGATGTAGATTTGCTTACATCAATCCAAGGGCCTTCTCCTAAGGAATGCTCAATTTGTAATACGACTGCAAATACTAGTGGATTCATTCAAACTGGGCCAGGCCCCCCCCCCCCCGTGGGTTTCCCCCTTTTATAGGGGTTTCCACGTAAAAAACTCTGGTGTCTCTTATGAAATGCTACACCGCTCTCACTTATCTGATTGTTGTGCTGGATCTTCGTAACAACGCTAAGACGTTAAACTATAATATTTCTCTAGCCGCGACGCGAATATTTCCAGGACGCAACGTTTGGCGCCGTCTGTAGGAAAGTGATTCCCGACTGGCGGGGCAACTCTGCTCCAATCCCAAAGATTGCTCTTATCAATCCTGCACATCAGTCATTATTGCGCATCAGATGTGGACTGGGGGGAACTTTGACCAAATTCTGGTTAAAAGATCATCTTATGCTTTTATATCAAGAATTATATATTGGGAAAATCTCAAGCAGACATGCAAGGCATACTTCGCAATCAATTAACAAGCCTTATAAAGTCCCCTGGCTGAGCTTTACTCGTTGGACAAGGTCCTTGAATTCCAACCTCAAAAAAGACAGTAATAGTCTAAAGATAGACCCTTCTTAACCTTTGATTCAGGGATACACGTGGCAAATACGCCTCTCCCAATCAAGGCAAAATCGATCCTAGGGGGATTCCGATTCGACCCTCTTCCACAGCAGGTTAACGTCGTCGAGGCAAAGGCTCGGCATACAACCTCGATAGGTCTACATGCCTTGGGGATTCTCCCGGCCTCTTCCACACAGGTTAACGTCAATCGAGCAAAAGGCTCCGGCATACAACGCTCGGAAAGGTCCCTACAGTCCTTGGTGGAATTCTCCCGGCCTCTTCCACACAGGTTAATTAACGTCGTCGAGCAAAGGCTCCGGCATACACCTGCGGAAAGGTCCTATCATCCCTTGTTGGATTCTCCCGGCCTCTTCCACACAGGTTTAACGTCGTCGAGCAAAGGCTCCGACCATACCAACCTCGGAAGGTTCCTACTCTACTCGGTGGATTCTCCCGGCCATTCTTCCACACAGGTTAACGTGTCGAGCAAAGGCTCCGGCATAACAACACCTCAGAAAGGTCCTAGATTCCTTGGTGGATTCTCCGGCCTCTTCGACGACCAGGTTAACGTCGTCGAGTAAAGGCTCCGGCATACAACCTCGGAAGGGTTCCTACATTCCTTGGGTGCTTTCTCCCGCCTCTTCAACACAGGTTAACGTCATCGAGCAAAGGGCTCCGACATACAACCTCGGAAAGGTCCTACATCCTTGGTGGATTCTTCCCAGCCTCTTCCACACATGGTAAACGTCGTCGAGCAAAGGCTCCGGCATACAACCTCGGAAAGGTCCTAATCCTTATGGATTCTCCCCGGCCTCTTCGACACAGGTTAACGTCGTCGAGCAAAGGTCCGACATACAACCGTCGGAAAGGTCCATACAATCCTTGGTGGATTCTCCCGACGCTCTTTCCACACAGGTTAACGTAGTCGAGCATAGGCTGCGACATCCAACCTCGAAAGGTCCTACATCCTTGGGGGAATTCTCGTCGATCTCTTCCACACAGGTTAACAGTCGTCGAGCAAAGTCTACGACATACAACCTCGGATAGTCTTACATCATTGTAGATCCAATATCGGTTAACAATCATGGAGCAAAGGCTCTGAACAAACAACATTGGATAGATTATACATCCTTGGTTAACGTCGCTAGAATGTCGTCATAAGACTTCTATCCTGACTTTCTCCATAATGTTAAAATTCTTCCCCCCCCCCGAAAATTTTTGAATTCCTCACTGCGCTAACTTTTGCCTTGCAGGACTTTCAGGACGGACTATTAACAACGACGCCAAAATTCTTCCCTTTCATCGACTAATACCCCGTCCGTCGGACTTCTGCTCGTCGACAAAACTTTTCGTCCGTCTTCTACCCGACAATACTTCTAACCCGACGCAGACTTCTGTCTCGTCAGCGGACTTCTACTCGACGTCGAACTTCTGCTCGTCAGCGGACTTCTACTCAACGTCGGAACTTTCTGCTTATTAGCGGACTTCTACCGTCGTCGGACTTTTGCTCGGCAACGGACCTTCGTCGGTCTTTCTACTTGACGCTGCACCTCTACCCCCGACTACGGACTTCTACTCGACCGATCAGACTTCTGCTGTTAGCAGGACTTCTACTCGGTCGTCGGACCTTCTGCTCGTCGACGAAACTTTCGTCAAGTCATCTTCCCGACTGCGGACCTTCTGCCTGCCGTCAGACTACTAACCGTCGTCGGACTTCTGCCCGTCGACGAACTTTGATCGTCCTTCTGCCGAGGTCGTACTTCTACACAACGTGGAATTTCTCTTGTCATCGAACTTCTGCTCATTGCGGAACTTACTTACTCATTCGTCGGACTTACTGCCCGTCGACAAACTTTCATCGGACTTCTGTCCGCAACGGCCGTACTTCTACATGACGTCGGACTTCAAACCTTGTCGTCGAACTTCTGCTCGTCAGCGGACTTCTACTCGTCATCCGGACCTTCTGCCCGTCGTACGAGTCTTTTATCGTCTTCTACCGACGCTGCAGCCTCTATCCGACTTTCCGGTAACTTCTACCGGATGTCAGACTTCTACCAGTTTAATAGACTTTCGGTCGGTCTTCTACCCGACGTTGTATGACTACCGATGTTGAATTCATGCCTGTCATCAAAATACTTCTCCCCGATGCCAGAAGTTTGCCCGTCATTCCAACCTCTTTCCTTACAACAGTCCTATCCGAGCGCTCCAATTGCCAACCACCAAACATCAGAACTCCACAAGATCTCTCGAAGAAAAGAGGATAAGGGAAAATCTCCGGACGTTCCTTGCCAAGAGAGGGGCCCTCGAAAATCGAGGGATATGCCATCAATGGTAAGGACAGGAGGGAGAAGAGAAAGAGGGGAAATGCTCCGAACTTTCCTTGCTCAGAGAGGGGCCTCGTTGAAAAATCGAGGGAAGGCCTCAAATAGAAAGGACAGAGGGGAGAAGAAAAGGAGGGGAAATCTTCCGAACTTCCTTGCCAAGAGAGGGGGCCTCGAAAAATCGAGGGAAGGCCTCAATAGAAAGGACAGAGGGAGAAGAAATGGAGGGGAAACATCCGAACTTCCTTGCCAAGAGAGGGGCCTCGAAAAATTGAGGGAAAAAGGCCTCAATAGGAAGGACAGAGGAGAAGGAAAGAAAGGAGGGAATCTCCGAACTTCCTGTGCCAAGAGAGGGGACCTCAAAAAATCGAGGGAAGGCCTCAATAGAGGACACAGATGGGAGAAGAGAAGGAGGGGAAATCTTCCGAACTTCCTTGCCAAGAGAGGGCCTGAAAAATCGAGGGAAGGCCTCAATAAGAAAAGGCGAGGGAGAAGAAAGGAGGCGGAAATCTCCGAACTTCCTGCCAAGAGAG